TCCTTGAAGAAAGTAATCTTTAAAAAATCCACATTTATTTGGTCCTTGAAGAAAGTAATCTTTAAAAAATCCACGTTTATTGGTCCTTTGGTCTTTGAAAAAATTAATCTTTAAAAAATCCACGTTTATTGGTCCTTTGGTCTTTGAAAAAATTAATCTTTAAAAAATCCACGTTTATTGGTCCTTTGGTCTTTGAAAAAATTAATCTTTAAAAAATCCACGTTTATTGGTCCTTTGGTCTTTGAAAAAATTAATCTTTAAAAAATCCACGTTTATTGGTCCTTTGGTCTTTGAAAAAATTAATCTTTAAAAAATCCACGTTTATTGGTCCTTTGGTCCTTGAAAAAATTAATCTTTAAAAAATCCACGTTTATTTGGTCCTTGAAGAAAGTAATCTTTAAAAAATCCACGTTTATTTGGTCCTTGAAGAAAGTAATCTTTAAAAAATCCACGTTTATTGGTCCTTTGGTCTTTAAAAAAATTAATCTTTAAAAAATCCACGTTTATTGGTCCTTTGGTCTTTGAAAAAATTAATCTTTAAAAAATCCAGGTTTATTGGTCCTTGAAAAAATTAATCTTTAAAAAATCCACGTTTATTTGGTCCTTGAAGAAAGTAATCTTTAAAAAATCCACGTTTATTTGGTCCTTGAAGAAAGTAATCTTTAATAAATCCACGTTTATTGGTCCTTAAAAAATTAATCTTTAAAAAATCCACGTTTATTGGTCCTTAAAAAAATTAATCTTTAAAAAATCCACGTTTATTGGTCCTTGAAAAAATTAATCTTTAAAAAATCCACGTTTATTGGTCCTTGAAAAAATTAATCTTTAAAAATCCACGTTTATTGGTCCTTGAAAAAATTAATCTTTAAAAAATCCACGTTTATTGGTCCTTGAAAAATTAATCTTTAAAAATCCACGTTTATTGGTCCTTGAAAAAATTAATCTTTAAAAAATCCACGTTTATTGGTCCTTGAAAAAATTAATCTTTAAAAAATCCACGTTTATTGGTCCTTGAAAAAATTAATCTTTAAAAAATCCACGTTTATTGGTCCTTGAAAAAATTAATCTTTAAAAAATCCACGTTTATTGGTCCTTGAAAAAATTAATCTTTAAAAAATCACGTTTATTGGTCCTTGAAAAAATTAATCTTTAAAAAATCCACGTTTATTGGTCCTTGAAAAAATTAATCTTTAAAAAATCCACGTTTATTGGTCCTTGAAAAAATTAATCTTTAAAAAATCCACGTTTATTGGTCCTTGAAAAAATTAATCTTTAAAAAATCCACGTTTATTGGTCCTTGAAAAAATTAATCTTTAAAAATCCACGTTTATTGGTCCTTGAAAAAATTAATCTTTAAAAAATCCACGTTTATTGGTCCTTGAAAAAATTAATCTTTAAAAAATCCACGTTTATTGGTCCTTGAAAAAATTAATCTTTAAAAAATCCACGTTTATTGGTCCTTGAAAAAATAATCTTTAAAAAATCCACGTTTATTGGTCCTTGAAAAAATTATTCTTTAAAAAATCCACGTTTATTTGGTCCTTGAAAAAAATAATCTTTAAAAAATCCACGTTTATTTGGTCCTTGAAGAAAGTAATCTTTAAAAAATCCACATTTATTTGGTCCTTGAAGAAAGTAATCTTTAAAAAATCCACGTTTATTGGTCCTTTGGTCTTTGAAAAAATTAATCTTTAAAAAATCCACGTTTATTGGTCCTTTGGTCTTTGAAAAAATTAATCTTTAAAAAATCCACGTTTATTGGTCCTTTGGTCTTTAAAAAAATTAATCTTTAAAAAATCCACGTTTATTGGTCCTTTGGTCCTTGAAAAAATTAATCTTTAAAAAATCCACGTTTATTTGGTCCTTGAAGAAAGTAATCTTTAAAAAATCCACGTTTATTGGTCCTTTGGTCTTTAAAAAAATTAATCTTTAAAAAATCCACGTTTATTGGTCCTTTGGTCTTTGAAAAAATTAATCTTTAAAAAATCCAGGTTTATTGGTCCTTGAAAAAATTAATCTTTAAAAAATCCACGTTTATTTGGTCCTTGAAGAAAGTAATCTTTAAAAAATCCACGTTTATTTGGTCCTTGAAGAAAGTAATCTTTAAAAAATCCACGTTTATTGGTCCTTGAAAAAATTAATCTTTAAAAAATCCACGTTTATTGGTCCTTGAAAAAATTAATCTTTAAAAAATCCACGTTTATTGGTCCTTGAAAAAATTAATCTTTAAAAAATCCACGTTTATTGGTCCTTGAAAAAATTAATCTTTAAAAAATCCACGTTTATTGGTCCTTGAAAAAATTAATCTTTAAAAAATCCACGTTTATTGGTCCTTGAAAAAATTAATCTTTAAAAAATCCACGTTTATTGGTCCTTGAAAAAATTAATCTTTAAAAAATCCACGTTTATTGGTCCTTGAAAAAATTAATCTTTAAAAAATCCACGTTTATTGGTCCTTGAAAAAATTAATCTTTAAAAAATCCACGTTTATTGGTCCTTGAAAAAATTAATCTTTAAAAAATCCACGTTTATTGGTCCTTGAAAAAAATAATCTTTAAAAAATCCACGTTTATTGGTCCTTGAAAAAAATAATCTTTAAAAAATCCACGTTTATTGATCCTTGAAAAAATTAATCTTTAAAAAATCCACGTTTATTGGTCCTTGAAAAAATTAATCTTTAAAAAATCCACGTTTATTGGTCCTTGAAAAAATTAATCTTTAAAAAATCCACGTTTATTGGTCCTTGAAAAAATTAATCCTTAAAAAATCCACGTTTATTGGTCCTTGAAAAAATTAATCTTTAAAAAATCCACGTTGATTGGTCCTTGAAAAAATTAATCTTTAAAAAATCCACGTTGATTGGTCCTTGAAAAAATTAATCTTTAAAAAATCCACGTTGATTGGTCCTTGAAAAAATTAATCTTTAAAAAATCCACGTTGATTGGTCCTTGAAAAAATTAATCTTTAAAAAATCCACGTTTATTGGTCCTTGAAAAAATTAATCTTTAAAAAATCCAAGTTTATTGGTCCTTTGGTCCTTGAAAAAATTAATCTTTAAAAAATCCACGTTTATTTGTCCTCTGGTCCTTGAAAAAATTAATCTTTAAAAAATCCACGTTTAGTGGTCCTTTGGTCCTTGAAAAAATTAATGTTTAAAAAATCCACGTTTATTGGTCCTTGAAAAAATTAATCTTTAAAAAATCCACGTTTATTGGTCCTTGAAAAAATTAATCTTTAAAAAATCCACGTTTATTGGTCCTTGAAAAAATTAATCTTTAAAAAATCCACGTTTATTGGTCCTTGAAAAAATTAATCCTTAAAAAATCCACGTTTATTGGTCCTTGAAAAAATTAATCTTTAAAAAATCCACGTTGATTGGTCCTTGAAAAAATTAATCTTTAAAAAATCCACGTTTATTGGTCCTTGAAAAAATTAATCTTTAAAAAATCCACGTTTATTGGTCCTTGAAAAAATTAATCTTTAAAAAATCCACGTTGATTGGTCCTTGAGAAAATTAATCTTTAAAAAATCCACGTTTATTGGTCCTTGAAAAAATTAATCTTTAAAAAATCCAAGTTTATTGGTCCTTTGGTCCTTGAAAAAATTAATCTTTAAAAAATCCACGTTTATTTGTCCTCTGGTCCTTGAAAAAATTAATCTTTAAAAAATCCACGTTTATTTGGTCCTTTGATCCTTAAAAAAATTAATCTTTAAAAATCCACGTTTAGTGGTCCTTTGGTCCTTGAATAAATTAATGTTTAAAAAATCCACGTTTATTGGTCCTTTGATCCTTAAAAAAATTAATCTTTAAAAATCCACGTTTATTGGTCCGTTGGTCCTTGAAAAAATTAATCTTTAAAAAATCCACGTTTATTGGTCCTTTGGTCCTTGAAAAAATTAATCTTTAAAAATCCACGTTTATTGGTCCTTGAAAAAATTAATCTTTAAAAATCCACGTTTATTGGTCCTTTGGTCCTTGAAAAAATTAATCTTTAAAAATCCACGTTTATTGGTCCTTTGGTCCTTGAAAAAATTAATCTTTAAAAAATCCACGTTTATTGGTCCTTTGGTCCTTGAAAAAGTTAATCTTTAAAAAATCCACGTTTATTGGTCCATGAAAAAATTAATCTTTAAAAAATCCACGTTTATTTGTCCTTTGGTCCTTGAAAAAGTTAATCTTTAAAAAATCCACCTTTATTGGTCCATGAAAAAATTAATCTTTAAAAAATCCACGTTTATTTGTCCTTTGGTCCTTGAAAAAGTTAATCTTTAAAAAATCCACCTTTATTGGTCCATGAAAAAATTAATCTTTAAAAAATCCACGTTTATTGGTCCTTTAATCCTTGAAAAAATATTCTTTAAAAAATCCACGTTTATTGAACCTTTAGTCCTTGAAAAAATTAATCTTTAAAAAATCCACGTTTATTGGTCCTTTGGTCCTTGAAAAAAATAATCTTTAAAAAATCCACGTTTATTGGTCCTTGAAAAAATTAATCTTTAAAAAATCCACGTTTATTGGTCCTTGAAAAAATTAATGTTTAAAAAATCCACGTTTATTGGTCCTTGAAAAAATTAATCTTTAAAAAATCCACGTTTATTGGTCCTTTGGTCCTTGAAAAAATTAATGTTTAAAAAATCCACGTTTTTTGGTCCTTTGATCCTTAAAAAAATTAATCTTTAAAAATCCACGTTTATTGGTCCTTTGGTCCTTGAAAAAATTAATGTTTAAAAAATCCACGTTTATTGGTCCTTTGGTCCTTGAAAAAATTAATGTTTAAAAAATCCACGTTTATTGGTCCTTTGGTCCTTGAAAAAATTAATCTTTTAAAAATCCACGTTTATTTGGTCCTTGAAAAAAATGATTCTTTAAAAAATTCACGTTTATTTGTCCTTTGGTCCTTGAAAAAATATTCTTTATAAAATTCACCTTCTTTGGTCCTTAAAATGATATTCTTTAATAAAAACTCACCATTTTTCTTTCAAAAAATATTATTTTTAACTTTAACTTATTTTTCATATAATCTTCTTTTGTTTTTTTTTTACTAACACCAATTATTTATTAACTTTTAATTATGCTACATAAATATTCATATTTATCTTGCCTCCATGTGGCCATCTAACAACAGCGAATAGCAACATCAACTATATTAACATTCAAATGGACTTCATTTTTCAATAATTTATTTAATGTTTCAAAACGAATTATTTACATTAGCCCTGGAGGCGAAGCTCTAGGAGATTTGTTCGCCATTATCTCCAGCAGCAGCAGCAAAAGTTTCCTCAAAGCGTTCGTAATGTTTGCAATAATTTGTCTCTTGTTTAATGGCGCCCTCATTAATAACATTGGAGACCATCAGCTGATAAGTGACGACAGTGCTGGCCATCTAGTCAACGAAACCAAAAAACAGCAGCAGCAGGAATTTTTGCACATCATCATCGCCGTCATCATCATCATTATTGGCATCGCAGCACCAATATCCATCCATGGCAGATATGCAGGTCAACAAATTTGCCAAAATCAAAATTTAACGAGAAAAATAAACAACAACAAAAAAACAACATCCATTAATTAAAATAATCTGGCAACAACAAAAACAACATCGAATATAAATTGTCATTACAGCCAAAATTAGTTTGCGCGTCAATGTAAAAAGACCGGCAGCCGTGAAAGCTGTTACATCCACCGCCAGTTGTTGGCTGAAGCGTTGGGTCTTCAGTGCGGACACATCATTATCCAGTCAGAGCAGTTAGACACAAGCCATGGAACAACGAAAATCAAAATCAACAAAACAAAAATGAAATCCATTTTTAATAACTATTGAATATGAATGAAATCTCACAGCCCCGAATACCTACCTCTGTACACCACGACCGGGAGGGTACATCACGCAAACAAATTATTATCTTCCTGGTGTACTCGTCCAGCATGGAGGCCAGGGAAAATGTTAGAATTGTGCGGAAAATATTGTAGAGCAGCGAGTACCAAAATGCCATTTCGGCCACCCAGTCGACACCAATGTTGCTGGAGAGACAGGAATACGAGCAGGACGATAACGATATTTACATAAAGGAAACACAATTTGTAAAGATAATGTAAATTTACAAGATACTCCTCCCTCTCATTCTCTCCCGCTCTCCGAGAATATATACTTACGTAAAACTATTAAATAACTGACAACAAATAAAGTACATGTTGTTGGCCCCGGACAAGAAAATCAAAACGGACATTTCTTTGTTGAGATCTCGCAGGAGCTTCTTAAGCATCAAATAATGTTCTCGGGTTTCCAGCCAAAATATTGAGGGCATGGGCTAAAGGAAAAAATAAAAGAATGGGTTTTGAAGGATATCTTTTTAAGGATCAAACTTTGATTTTTAAAGGATATTTTTTCAAGGACCAAGTAAACGTGGATTTTTTAAAGATTACTTTTTTCAAGGACGACTTAAACGTGGATTTTTTACAGATTTCTTTTTACAAAGACAACATAAACCTGGATTTTTTAAAGATGAATTTTCTTAAGGACTAACTAAACGTGGATTTTTTAAAGATTACTTTTTTCAAGGACCAAATAAACGTGGATTTTTTTAAAGATTACTTTTTTCAAGGATCAAATAAACGTGGATATTTTAAAGATTCCATTTTTCAAGGACAACATAAATGTGGATTTTTAAAGATTACTTTTTCAAGGACAACATAAACGTGGATTTTTTTAAAATTACTTTTTTCAAGAACCAAATAAACGTGGATTTTTAAAGATTACTTTTTTTCGAGGACAAACTAAAGGTGTATATTTTAAAGCTTTTTTTCAAGGACAAACTAAACGTGGATTTTTTAAAGATTATTTTTTTTCAAGGACAAACTAGACGTGGATTGTTTAAAGATTTTTTTTTCAAGGACCAAATAAAAGTGGATATTTTAAAGATTTAAATATTCCTTTAAAATCCACGTTTATTGGTCTTTTGGTCCTTGAAAATATTATTTCAAATATATTATTTTAAAAATCCACGTTTATGGGTAATATTTTTTTAAAAAATCCAAATGAAAAATATTCTTTAAAAAAATCCACGTCCATCTTTTGGTCCTTGAAAAAATATTCCTTTAAAAATCCATGTTTATTTCTCCTTTGATTCTTGAAAAATATTTATTTTAAAAAATCCTTTGATCCTTGAAAAAATATTCCTTTAAAAATCCACGTTTATTTCTCCTTTGATTCTTGAAAAATATTTATTTTAAAAAATCCTTTGATCCTTGAAAAAATATTCCTTTAAAAATCCACGTTTATTTCTCCTTTGATTCTTGAAAAATATTTATTTTAAAAAATCCTTTGATCCTTGAAAAATATTTATTTTGAAAAATCCACGTTTATTTGTCCTTTGATCCTTGGAAAATATTTATTTTGAAAAATCCACGTTTATTTGTCCTTTGATCCTTGAAAAATATTTATTTTGAAAAATCCTTTGATCCTTGAAAAATATTTATTTTGAAAAATCCACGTTTATTTGTCCTTTGATCCTTGAAAAATATTTATTTTGAAAAATCCACGTTTATTTGTCCTTTGATCCTTGGAAAATATTTATTTTGAAAAATCCACGTTTATTTGTCCTTTGATCCTTGAAAAATATTTATTTTAAAAAATCCTTTGATCCTTGAAAAATATTTATTTTGAAAAATCCACGTTTATTTGTCCTTTGATCCTTGGAAAATATTTATTTTGAAAAATCCACGTTTATTTGTCCTTTGATTCTTGAAAAATATTTATTTTAAAAATCCTTTGATCCTTGAAAAATATTTATTTTGAAAAATCCACGTTTATTTGTCCTTTGATCCTTGAAAAATATTTATTTTGAAAAATCCACGTTTATTTGTCCTTTGATCCTTGAAAAATATTTATTTTGAAAAATCCACGTTTATTTGTCCTTTGATCCTTGAAAAATATTTATTTTGAAAAATCCACGTTTATTTGTCCTTTGATCCTTGGAAAATATTTATTTTGAAAAATCCACGTTTATTTGTCCTTTGATCCTTGAAAAATATTTATTTTGAAAAATCCACGTTTATTTGTCCTTTGATCCTTGAAAAATATTTATTTTGAAAAATCCACGTTTATTTGTCCTTTGATCCTTGAAAAATATTTATTTTGAAAAATCCACGTTTATTTGTCCTTTGATCCTTGAAAAATATTTATTTTGAAAAATCCACGTTTATTTGTCCTTTGATCCTTGAAAAATATTTATTTTGAAAAATCCACGTTTATTTGTCCTTTGATCCTTGAAAAATATTTATTTTGAAAAATCCACGTTTATTTGTCCTTTGATCCTTGAAAAATATTTATTTTGAAAAATCCACGTTTATTTGTCCTTTGATCCTTGAAAAATATTTATTTTGAAAAATCCACGTTTATTTGTCCTTTGATCCTTGAAAAATATTTATTTTGAAAAAATCCACGTTTATTTTTCCTTTGATCCTTGAAAAATATTTATTTTGAAAAACCCACGTTTGTTTGTCATTTGGTCCTTGAAAAATATTTATTTTGAAAAATCCACGTTTATTTGTCCTTTGATCTTTGAAAAATATTTATTTTGAAAAATCTACGTTTATTTGTCCTTTGATCCTTGAAAAATATTTATTTTGAAAAATCCACGTTTATTTGTCCTTTGATCTTTGAAAAATATTTATTTTGAAAAATCCACGTTTATTTTTCCTTTGATCCTTGAAAAATATTTATTTTGAAAAATCCACGTTTATTTGTCCTTTGATCTTTGAAAAATATTTATTTTGAAAAATCCACGTTTATTTGTCCTGTGATCCTTGAAAAACATTTTTTTGAAAAATCCACGTTTATGGGTCTTTTGATCCTTGAAAAATATTTCTTTAAACAATCCACGTTTCTTGGTCTTTTGGTCTTTGAAAAATCCACGTTTATGGGTCTTTTGATCCTTGAAAAATATTTCTTTAAACAATCCACGTTTCTTGGTCTTTTGGTCTTTGAAAAATCCACGTTTATGGGTCTTTTGATCCTTGAAAAATATTTCTTTAAACAATCCACGTTTCTTGGTCTTTTGGTCTTTGAAAAATCCACGTTTATTTGTCCTTTGATCCTTGAAAAATATTTATTTTGCAAAATCCACGTCTATTTGTCCTTTGGTCCTTGAAAAATCCACACTTATTTGTCCTTTGATCCTTGAAAAATATTTATTTTGCAAAATCCACGTCTATTTGTCCTTTGGTCCTTGAAAAATCCACGTTTATTTGTCCTTTGATCTTTGAAAAATATTTATTTTGCAAAATCCACGTTTATTAGTCCTTTGGTCCTTGAAAAATCCACGTTTATTTGTCCTTTGATCCTTGAAAAAAATTTATTTTGAAAAACCCACGTTTGTTTGTCATTTGGTCCTTGAAAAATCCACGTTTATTTGTCCTACGATCTTTGAAAAATATTTATTTTGAAAAATCCACGTTTATTTGTCCTTTGATCTTTGAAAAAGATTTATTTTGAAAAATCCACGTTTATTCGGTCCTTGAAAAAATATTCTCTTAAAAATCTACATTTACATTTTAATGAAAAATGTTTCAAGGATCAAAAGAGAAATTAACCTGGATTTTTTTGGAGAATATTTTTTCAAGGACCATGGGACCTTTAAAAATCCAGGTTTATTGATCTATTAGTCCTTGACGTTTATTGTTCTTTTGGTCCACGTTTCTTGGTCTTTTGGTCCTTGAAAGATATTCTTTAAAAACCCACGTTGCTTGGACTTTTGGTCCTTGAAAGATATTCTTTAAAAACCCACGTTTCTTGATCTTTTGGTCCTTGAAAGATATTCCTTAAAAACCCACGTTTCTTGGTCTTTTGGTCCTTGAAAGATATTCTTTAAAAACCCACGTTGCTTGGACTTTTGGTCCTTGAAAGATATTATTTAAAAACCCACGTTTCTTGATCTTTTGGTCCTTGAAAGATATTCCTTAAAAACCCACGTTTCTTGGTCTTTTGGTCCTTGAAAGATATTCTTTAAAAACCCACGTTTCTTGGTCTTTTGGTCCTTGAAAAATATTCCTTTAAAAACCCACGTTTCTTGGTCTTTTGGTCCTTGAAAAATATTCCTTTAAAAACCCACGTTTCTTGGTCTTTTGGTCCTTGAAAAATATTCCTTTAAAAACCCACGTTTCTTGGTCTTTTGGTCCTTGAAAAATATTCCTTTAAAAACCCACGTTTCTTGGTCTTTTGGTCCTTGAAAAATATTCCTTTAAAAACCCACGTTTCTTGGTCTTTTGGTCCTTGAAAAATATTCCTTTAAAAACCCACGTTTCTTGGTCTTTTGGTCCTTGAAAAATATTCCTTTAAAAACCCACGTTTCTTGGTCTTTTGGTCCTTGAAAAATATTCCTTTAAAAACCCACGTTTCTTGGTCTTTTGGTCCTTGAAAAATATTCCTTTAAAAATCCAAGTTTCTTGGACTTTTGGTCCTTGAAAAATATTCTTTTAAAAATCCACGTTTATTGTTCGTTTGGTCCTTGAAAAATATTATTTTAAAAATCCACGTTTATTGTTCGTTTGGTCCATGAAAATTATTTTTTTAAAAATTCACGTTTCTTGGACTTTTGGTCCTTGAAAAATATTCCTTTAAAAATCCACGTTTCCTGGACTTTTGGTCCTTGAAAAATATTCCTTTAAAAATCCACGTTTATTGGTCTTTTGGTCCTTGAAAAATATTCCTTTAAAAATCCACGTTTATTGGTTTTTTGGTCCTTGAAAAATATTCTTTAAAAAATCCACGTTTATTTTTCTTTTGGTTCTTGAAAAATATTATTTTAAAAATCCACGTTTATTGTTCGTTTGGTCCTTGAAAAATATTATTTTAAAAATCCACGTTTATTGGTCCTTGAAAAATATTCCTTAAAAATACACGTTTATTGGTCCTTGAAAAATATTCTTTTAAAAATCCACGTTTATTGGTCCTTGAAAAATATTCTTTTAAAAATCCACGTTTATGAGTCTTTTGGTCCTCGAAAAAATATTTCTTTAAAAATCCACGTTTGTTTGTCCTTTGGGCCTTGAAAAAATATTCCTTTAAAAATCCACGTTTATTGGTCCTTGAAAAATATTCTTTTAAAAATCCACGTTTATTGATCCTTGAAAAATATTCTTTTAAAAATCCACGTTTAGTGGTCCTTGAAAAATATTCCTTTAAAAATCCACGTTTATTGGTCCTTGAAAAATATTCCCTTAAAAATCCACGTTTATGAGTCTTTTGGTCCTCGAAAAAATATTTCTTTAAAAATCCACGTTTGTTTGTCCTTTGGACCTTGAAAAAATATTCCTTTAAAAATCCACGTTTATTGGTCCTTGAAAAATATTCTTTTAAAAATCCACGTTTATTGATCCTTGAAAAATATTCTTTTAAAAATCCACGTTTAGTGGTCCTTGAAAAATATTCCTTTAAAAATCCACGTTTATTGGTCCTTGAAAAATATTCCCTTAAAAATCCACGTTTATGAGTCTTTTGGTCCTCGAAAAAATATTTCTTTAAAAATCCGCGTTTGTTTGTCCTTTGGGCCTTGAAAAAATATTCCTTTAAAAATCCACGTTTATTGGTCCTTGAAAAATATTCTTTTAAAAATCCACGTTTATTGATCCTTGAAAAATATTCTTTTAAAATCCACGTTTAGTGGTCCTTGAAAAATATTCCTTTAAAAATCCACGTTTATTGGTCCTTGAAAAATATTCCCTTAAAAATCCACGTTTATGAGTCTTTTGGTCCTCGAAAAAATATTTCTTTAAAAATCCACGTTTGTTTGTCCTTTGGGCCTTGAAAAAATATTCCTTTAAAAATCCACGTTTATTGGTCTTTTGATCCTTGAAAAATATTCTGTAAAAAATCCACGTTTATTTGGTCTGACGTTCCTTAAAAAATAGTCTTTAGAAAATTCACGTTTATTGGTCTTTTGGTCCTTTAAAAATCCACGTTAATTGGTCCTCGACAAAAATATTCTTTAAAAATCGCAGTTTGTAAAAGTTTTGGTCTTTAAAATAATATTCTAAGAAAAAACCTTAAAACCCCTTCTTACCTTTCCTTGTACATGCCTGATGCGCAAATAGATCTGTCTAAATCTCGTCGCCAAGCCCACACTGACCAAGGCGATAAAGGCATCGGTGAAGTTGCGAGGATATGCCAAAGTTAGATCTAGCCACTAGAAATGGAGATTTCCAAAATCAATTATTTGAAAGTTGATGCTAAAAATTCAAACCTCCAGCAAAGGTAACATCCAATATTGGAATGGTATTACCAATCTGAGATGGGGTCTCTCGCGGTAATATAAGATCTCCCAATTGCTAACATTCAGGTTGCATTGGGTACGTTCCAAATCGGCGTTCTGAAAGAAATTGAAGACCAGCAAACAATGTTCCACTGGGGATGGGCAGGAGGGAAAAATCAAAAATAGATAATAAATAATTAATTAAAAATAAATATAAATATAAAAACAAAATACTCACTCAATCCACCGCACATAATGACCGTATACCAAAGCCACAGCCAAAATTTCATATTAAATGTCAAATAATTCGGATAGGGGGTCCTGAAGAACACCTCCTCCGCTTGACGCCATTGTTTCATTAATTTTGGCCATTTCGAAGAGAGACGCCAAAAGAAATAATGTTCCAGCAGACACACTAGAAACAGGGCAATGGTACCTGGAAAACATCCAATTATTTGAAAATATTTTTTTCCATTGCCTGAATTTCGATCTTACTCAGCGAATGAAAATTAATACCCGTCACAAAGTTGTAATAAATTACCACCACAAATTCCAAAAAATTTAAAATCATTATGGCCGAGGCATAGGCAACCGGAAGGCTTAGCCATTTGTAGCGCAGCCTCGCAATACTGCCATGATAGACATTCGAGATGGGAAATAGGGCGAAAATTTGCGATATGAAAAGGACTGCAAGTAAATGAAGGAGTTATTTTTAATATCTAAGTTTTTTTTTATTAGGGGATTGGTGTTATGTGTCATGAGTTTGAGGTCTTAAGGTTTGGTATGGGGCTATATCAGAATATAAAGCAAAATTGAATCAATTTAAGCTCATTGAGAAAGCCGAAGGTCTCTATTAAAAAACATTAGTTATTGGGTTAATGGGCGTATGATTGATGTAATTTCACAGAAATTTAAATTTTATAAATCATACGCCCCGTACATTATATTTTGCCTAGTACGAAGCGTATATGGCCGTTGCCAATTATGTCAATCTAGTTCATAGCTCAGTACATCATAGTTCCTAAACGTATGAGTGATTTCATAAATTTCCCATTACTCATACGCAGAGTATTCATACAAACGACCGGAAATAGATAAAGAACTAGATTGGCATAGCTCTAGTAAATATCCGACGCATTTTTCCCTGCGACATTGGGCGTATGATTGATGTACTTTCACAGAAATTTCAATTAACGAAATTAATCATACGCACCGTTCACAAGCTGATTGAGTGACTGATTCATCAATGCCCAGGCGAAATGGCTGAAGCTGATATTTTGCATCGGGGTCAATGTTGGTGGGTAAGGGTAACATAACGGAAGGTTTTTCGAATTTTGGACTAGAAGCGTATTAAGGTTACTAAACAGCACTAAATTCCGCAAGTTTTTGTTATACCCTCCACCATACCATGGAGGGTATAGTAACTTTGTCATTCCGTTTGTAACTCCTCGAAATATTCATGTCACACATTTTAGCGATATTATTCACCGGAATGGGTTCAAATTTGGTATTTGAAGTTCGTAATGGATACTACAGCCCAAGACAGAAAATTGTCTGTGCAGGTGAACGTCTTAGTATAGCCATCATACAAAGGTACCTCCCGATATTCGGTATTTTGATGATTTTATCGTCATTATTCACCGGAATTTTTTGAAATTACGTATTTAGAGTTCGTAATGGGAACTACAGTCTGTGACAGAAAATTGTCTGTGCAGGTCCACGTTTTCGTATAGGCCCCATATATCAGTACCTCCCGATATTCGGTATTTCGACGAGTTTAGGTACAATAACCACCGAAATTGTTTGAGATGTCGTATTTGACGTTCGTATTGGATGATATAGCCTATAGCCTGGACCTATGCTGATCCAGGTGTTCACACAGCTCCGATATAACCGTACCTCCCTATATACGATATTTTGATGATTTTAGCTACATTATTCACAGTTTATTTCAAGTTCCGAATTTGAATATGGTAATGGCTTATGACAAACAATGCCTATGTAGGTCCACGTCGTATAGACACCAATATAAGGGCTATATTTAGTATTTTTAAAATTTTAACAGAATTTTTTAAGTATTATATTTTTTTGAAAATTTCCAAATTCGTTCCAAATGGTGGAGGGTATTCAAAGTTCGGCCCGGCCTAAATTACTGCTTTTTAACTTGTCTTTTTTAAATTTTAACAGATTTTTTTAAGGGTTTTATTTTTTTAAAAAATTTCCAAATTCGTTCCAAATGGTGGAGGCTTTTCAAAGTTCGGCCTGGCCGACATTACTGCTTTTTAACTTGTTTTTTGTTAAGGTATGTACCATGTCGTATAAAAATAAAATTTGGGGAGTAGTGTTGACTTAAATAGGTTATTTTCTTATCTCCTCAGCCATATGGAGAGGATATACAGGGTGAGATGAATAAACTGCAACCAACTTCAGACTGCTGTCATTTCTAAGCCACTGGTCCGACAGCTGTTAAAATTATTCCAGTGACAGCTTTTCCAGAAAAAAAGTTATTCGCCATGGAATTCAACCGTGATAGTGTGAATTCTTTATATTTGGCTGGAAAACCACCAACCAAGGGGCTATCGTTAGAGCACTCCAGCATTTAAATGTGAATAAATCTTTTGTGTCTCGTACCATCGCTCTTCACCGTGATACTGGCAGCGTAGACCGACGTCAAGGAATTGGATGGAAGAAAACAGCAACATCAGCAGAAATGTTTCGAAAAGTAAAGAAGCGAATTGATCGAAACCCGCGTCACAATATTCCATTCGGCAAATATTGAAAAATGAGCTCGGGGTAAAGCCATTGAAATTCCAAAAAGTGCAAGAACTTATACCGCTACAGAAAGCAAATAAACTCAAAAGAGCTAAAGAGTTGCTTCGCTTGGCCGAAAGTGGTGAACTGCCGAATTTGGTTTTCTCCGTCGCCGATAAGAAAACATTCGTTGTCGACCAGTTTGTAAACAACAACAACAACAAAATGATTCGTGTGTTTACTTGCCAAAGAGGTCAGCTGAAAATGTGCACTTTCGGTTGGCCACCAGAACTCAAGCGCCGGCCATGGTGATGATGATGGTGTGAGCCGATGATCGCTATCCGCTCGTATTAATCGACCGTGGCATCAGAATAAATGCCGAATATTATTAGGAAAATATTCTGGAGGGTATATTAAATACTTGGGCCCGCAAACATTTTGGCCGCAGACCAACAGGACTCAGCACCATCGCACTCAGCACGCGTCGCCCAAGAATGGTTACAAAATGATGCTCCTCGCTTCATTTTCAGCGCACAATAGCCACAAAATCTCAGGATACCAATCAGTTGTACTTTTGTATCTGGAGTATTTTGGAAAGCAAGGTTGGCACTAAAAAATACCAAAGTGTCGATCACCTCAAACAAGCGCTTCGCCGGGAATGGGCCAAAATACAGCAGAGCAACATTCGGGCAGCGTGTGACGGTTTCATTGGCCATTTGATGGCCATAATTCGTACCAAAGGTGACCAATTCGAACAAATCTAAACATATTCAAAAATTTGATGCTATTTGTGACATTTTTTGCATTTGTTGAAATTTTCATCTCACCCTGTATATATTCTTGATCTACATAAATATCTATGTCGATTTAGCGATCTCCATCCGTCTGTGGAAGTCACTCTAGCTTCCGATCGAAATGAAGTAGGTTGATCAAATATTACTCAAATGTATATTATGTCTGCAGGACTTTTGATATTAAAAATGAGCCATGTAGGTCCACGTTTTGGTATAGCCCCCATATAATGGTATCACCCTATTTTCGGTATTTTGGTGATTTATGCGACATTATTCACCGGAATTGTTTCACATTTGGTATTTGAAGTTCGTAATGGATACTACAGCATAAGACAGAAAATTGCCTGTGCAGGTCCACGTCTTCGTATAGCCCCCATATAACGGTACCTCCCGATATTCGGTATTTTGATGATTTTAGCGAAATTAATCACCGGAATTTTTTCAAATTATGTATTTAGAGTTCGTAATGGGAACTACAGTCTGTGACAGGAAATTGTCTGTGCAGGTCCACGTCTTCGTATAGGCCCCATATATCAGTACCTCCCTATATTCGGTATTTTGATGATTTTAGCTACATTATTCACTGTTTATTTCAAAGTTCGAATTTGAATATGGTAATGGCTTATGACAAACAATGCCTATGTAGGTTAACGTCGTATAGACCCCAAAATAACGGCTATATTCGGTATTTTTAAAAATTTAACAGAATTTTTTATGGATTTTATTTTTTAAAATTCCAAATTCGTTCAAAATGGTGGAGGGTATTCAAAGTTCGGCCCGGCCGAACTTATTGCTTTTTGACTTGTCAAATTTAACATTTGAATATTGTAATGGTTACAACAAAATTTCCCCATGCAGGTCCACGTCGTCATATAAATCCTAATATAACGGTTACATTCGACATTTTTAAGATTTTAACAGAATTTTTAACGGATTTTAATTTATTTATTTATTTTTTTGAAAATTGGCAAATTTGTTCCAAAAGGTTCCAATGGGTATTCAAAGTTCGGACCGGCCGAATTTACAGCTTTTTTACTTATTTTTTTTTTTTTTTTAATTTTTATTTTCGCACTCAAAAGATAACATTTTTTCACATACTTTTTCGCACCGATTGATGAAAAGTTTGCTTTTCCATGAAGTCTTGTATTTTGTAATCCAAAGTTAAGAGTTTTTATTTTTTTGTTATATTTTATTATTTTTTGAACCACAAAATTTTGCTTGTTTACGGGCTATACGGGAAATTTTCAATTAAGCCTTTTTGCAAACAAAAATCTTCTGAAACTCTGCGATAAACAAAAAATACCACAAGTATTATTACAAAGTCTGCCAGGACACACACCCACACACACCTTCTGTCCTCCTACGATAACTCCGGACAAGTAAACAATGTCATTGTTGTCGTTGATTTCCTATAATATATGTCCTGATTACTGTTTAGATGTGGACAATGTGATATACAAATAACAATTTTGTTTTACTTCTGTTGACCGGACAACAATGGATTTATTGTTGTTATTATTACACTGTGCGACAAAATTCAATTTTTGTACTAAAGGTGGTTTTTTCACTATAAGTGTACGAAAAGTAATAAAATGTACTATACAGAGTGAGAAAAAAAGCTGCAACCAAATTCAAACTGCTCTCATTTCTGAGCCACTCGTCCGACAGCTGTTAAAATTATTCCAGTGACAGCTCATTATATTGTTAACAAGCGTACAAAAGCATTTCGGTTAGAATTTTTCAGAAAAAAAGTTATTCGCGATGGAATCTAAGGGTGATAGTGTGATTTCTTCATATTTGGCTGGAAAACCTCCAGCCAAGTGGCTATCGTTAGAGCACTCCAGCATTTAAATGTGAATAAATCTCGTAATCGGTGTCTCGTACCATCGCTCATTACAGATTACCGTGATACTGGTAGCGTAGCTCCACATATATCAAGGAAGTGAACGGAAGAAAACAGCAACATCACCAGAAATGGTTCGAAAAGTAAAGAAGCGACTTGATCGAAACCCGCGTCGCAGTGGCCGAAAAATGGCCCATGAGCTGAACATTTCGCAATATTCCATTCGGCAAATATTGAAAAATGAGCTCGAGGTAAAGCCATTGAATTTCCAAAAAGTGCAGGAACTTATACCGCAACAGAAAGAAAATAGTCCTAAAAGAGCCGATCAAAAGAGTTGCTTCGCTTGGCCGAAAGTTGTGAACTGCCGAATTTTGTTTTCTCCATCTCCGATGAGAAAACATTCGTTGTCCAGCAGCTTGTGAACAGCAACAACGAAATGATCGTGTTTACTTGTCAAAGAGGTCAGCTGAAAATGTGCACCTTCGGTGGGCCACCAGAACTCAAGCGCCGGACATGGTGGTGATGGTGTGGGCCGCCATAACAGCCGATAATCGCTCTCCGCTCGCATAAATGGACCGGACATTAGACGTCAGATTCGGCATTTATGGACATCAGAATAAATGCCGAATATTATAGCGAAAATATTCTGGAGGGTGTATTAAAACCTTAGGTATGCAAACATTTTGGCCCCAGACCTTGGACATTCCAACAGGACTCAGCACAAACGCACCCAACACGGGTCACCCAAGAATGGTTACAAAATGAGATTCCTTGCTTCATTTCCAGCGCACAATGGCCACCAAAATCTCCGGATACCAATCCGTTGAACTATTATGTCTGGAGTAGTTCGGGAAGCAAGGTAGGCACTAAAAAATACCAAGGTGTCGATGACCTCAAGCAAGCACTTTGCCGGGAATAAACCAAAACACGGTCCAAACCAGGCTCGTCGCAATACATCATCCGATAGAGGTCCGAAATGAAATGGTCAATATTTGCCCATTTCTTCGGAACCTACTCCATAGAGAATCAAAAATTTGAATAATCATAACAGAAGTCAAAATATATTTAAATAATCGAACATTGGCTAAGGGTATACATTTGTCGTCAAAACCGACTGATACTATTTTACTTGTTTTGAAAAAAAATCAGTTTTAAAATATCAAATAATTATTTTGAATATCACCTCCACCCTCAATTTCCTAATATTTTTTACAAAAATTTCATATTTGATATATTGAAAACAACAACTTTCATCTGTCCACAACAAAAATTCAAAACTTTCATATTCAAATAAGAAAAAATTCTCTCCCACGGTTCCGCTTCTTGCTTGCAATCTGCCCAATATTAGATTATCCTCTTCGTTACACACCGCTGCACCACCACCACCACGACGAGAAGTTAAAAAAGTTATGACTAATAAAATTAGCCGGTGACACGCATTTATTAAATTTATTTCAGATTATCACTTTGCATTAAAAAACAAGTAAGCAAAGGCTACAGTCGAGCGGGGCCGACCGTTGAATACCCTACAACACTATAATAAACGATACAGTTTATATAGGCGAGATACTCGAAAGAATTCCACAAGATATTGTGACAAATAATAAAAGAAAACCATCAGATTTCGTTCTCTAATTTTCGAATAATAGCAACTTAAACTAATCCGCTCATTTCCAATTTATTGGTAAATGGTCTTCCTAGATCTGGAACCAATATTTCCCAAAGACCTATAATCTCTCAGAAGTGGCAAAAGATTAACATTTATTATTGGTTTTTGACTGAAACGCATCTATATGAGATACAGACATTTGACTACCTTCTTCAACGAAATCAGCATTAAAAAAAATAGTCAGAAGTGCGTCTTTCCTGTATTTGTGAATTCTCCAAGAAGTCACTGGAATGGACATTTTCGTATTTTGTCTACAAAAGTTGGCAAACTATTTCACACATTGAATATTTTTGGATGGCCATCCGAAACTGCTTGGCTTTTGCAATGCCCAGTAACCCCCATTCAAATGTGCGTGAGGATCGGGCAATAATTACGACCTGCTGACAATTTTGCAGTTTTTTGGTCCATTTCAACCCCTAAATATATGGCGATCATCTCCAAAAAGAGTAGGCTTCTATTCTGATCCTCATCTTATCCCAATGCAAAATTTCGTTAGGATCGGGCCATAAATGCGATCTGTATATGATATCCTGATATCCTAACTACTTAGTTTTGTTAGCTGTAGAAATATCACCAAATGTTTAATTCAAAATGAAAATATGCCAAAAATATGACAAAATTGAAAAAATATGAGAAAATTTTACAAAATCAATATTTTCATCTTTAGAGAGATATTTTTACGCGTTTTTTATTCTTTCCTGCCAAAAGGCCATTCTGAATTAATGAGAACTGTAGAAATCAGTTCAGCCGTTCTCGACATATAAGAGATTATTCAAGCATATCTTCTTTGATAGACATATATGTCGCACATATTTTGCTATATATCCGATTTGTTGGATGTTAACATCAATATAAAGATCCGAAGTAACCTTGTCATGGCTTTGTGATTTCTCCGGGATTTAAAATATTCGCGGTTTAATGAAAAATTTTGAATTTTTTCAACAAAAAAGATATGGTCTATTTTACCCGCTAAATATTATCCGATGACCACCCAAATTGGTAGCTTCTTCCCCGCCCTAAACTCTAGCTACATGCGAATTCGAAGTCGATTGGTCTATAATTGCGACCTGTATAGATACTGCAAAATCCGACATTTTTTCAGTATTTGGTCCATTTCAACCCCTAAACATTTGGCGATCATCTCCAAAAGAAATAGGGTTCTATTCTGACCCCAGACCCACCTCCATTCTAAATTTCGTGAAGATCGGGCCATAATTGCGACCTGTAGAGTGATTACAAATTAACATGGACAGACGGACAGACGGACAGACGGACGGACGGACATACACAGCTAGATCGACTCAGCTCGGCGAGCTAGGAAGATCCATATATACTTTCCTATGTGGGAAACCAATATTTCGAGGTGTTACATAATTTTTGGCCCAATCAAACTTATAATACCCCCAACACATAGTGTTGTAGGGTATAATTATGGCAACAAGGGTTTTGCAAAATCACAACAACAAGAACAACAAAAGAAAAAGACTGTCAGCAAAATAAAAAAAATATCTGAATTTCGTGGCTGTGACAAGTTAGTCACTGTATGCTGTTGTTGTTGTTATTGTTTTTGTTGTTATTTTAATAATTTAATTGTGTTGTACTAACGTCATAAACAGTGATTTACTTGAGTCAAGGTCGTTGTGTGGAGGTGGGAATGGGGTTGGAGGACATTCAAACTAACATGTTTTCGTAGGAAATTTGGGATGACTTCGAAAAGTTTTGGGGTAAGTTTTTTTCTTTAACATAATTTGATATTCCTTCCAGGAAGAGCTGTAGCAAACAAAAAAAATATGAGAAGTCCAGGAGCTCCTTGCAAAGAAAACTAACTTCTAGACTTCCATGAGGTCTTACTTCGAAGCTTCTATGGGTACAGGGTGAGATAAAAAAACCATCAACAAAATCCACGTTTATTTGGTCCTTGAAAAAAATAATCCTTAAAAAAACCACGTTTATTTGGTCCTTGAAAAAAATAATCTTTAAAAAATCCCCATTTATTTGGTCCTTGAAAAAAAATAGTCTTTAAAAAATCCCCATTTATTTGGTCCTTGAAAAAAATAATCTTTAAAAAATTTACGTTTATTTGTCCTTTGGTCCTTGAAAAAATGAATCTTTAAAAAATCCATTTTTTAGTGCCAACCTTGCTTTCCAAAATACTCCAGACACAATAGTCCAACGGATTGGTATCCGGAGATTTTGGTGGCCATTTTGTGAGCTGGAAATAAAGCGAGGAACCTCATTTTGTAACCATTCTTGGGTGATGAGTGCGATGGTGCTGAATCCTGTTTGAATATCCAAGGTCTACGGCAAAAATGTTTGCGGGCCACCAAGGCTTTAATACACCCTCCAGAATATTTTCGTGATAATATTCGGCATTTATTCTGATGCCACGGTCTATTAATATGAGCGAAGAGAGACCATCGGCTGTTATGGCGGCCACCACCATCACCATGGCCAGCTTGAGGCTTGAGTTCTGGTGGCCTACCGAAAGTGCACATTTTCAGCTGACCTCTTTGGCAAGTAAACACCATCATGTTGTTGTTGTTTAAAAACTGCTGGACAACGAATGTTTTCTCATCGGAGACGGAGAAAACCAAATTCGGCAGTTCACCCACCACTTTCGGCCAAACGAAGCAACTTTTTAGCTCCTTTGAGTCCATTTTCTTTCTGTTGCGGTGTAAGTTCTTGCACTTTTTGGAATTTCAATAGCTTAATCCCGAGCTCATTTTTCAATATTTGCCGAATGGAATATTGTGATATGTTCAGCTCACGAGCCAGCTCGACCAGTGCGACCTGGGTTTCAATCAAGTCGCTTTAATATTTTTCGAATCATTTCTGCTGATGTTGCTGTTTTCTTCCGTCCACTTTCTTGACGTTGGGCTAAGCTACCAGTATCACGTAATCGGTAACGAGCGATGGCACGAGACACAAAAGATTTATGCACATTTAAGTACAGCAGTGCTCTAAGGATAGTCAATTGTTGTTTTCCAGCCAAATATAAAGAAATCACACTGTCCCGCTTAAATTCCGAATCACGAATAATTTTTTTTTTTCTGGAAAATTCTCATCAAAATTCTTTTGTCCTCTGGTTAATAATATTATGAGCTATCACTGGAATAATTTTAACAGCTGTCGGACGAGTGGCTTAGAAATGACAGTAGTCTGAAGTTGGTTGCAGTTTTTTCATCTCACCCTGTAGACCTTCTAGACTTTTATAAGGCATCCCTCACTGTCTTCATACTTACATAATAGAAAATCATCGAACATTTTCTCCGCGTTTATTTAATCCTTGCAAAAAATAATTTTTAGAAAATCCCCATTGATTTCGTCCTTGAAAAAAGTAATCTTTAAAAATCCACGTTTATTTGTTCCTTGAAAAAATGAATCTTTAAAAAATCCACGTTTATTAGGTCCTTGAAAAAATTAATCTTTAAAAAATCCACATTTATTAGGTCCTTGAAAAAATTAATCTTTAAAAAATCCACCTTTATTTGTTCTTTTGGTCCTTGAAAAAAGTAATCTTTTAAAAAATCCACATTTATTTGGTCCTTAAAAACTAATCTTTAAAAAATCCACGTTTATTTGGTCCTTAAAAACTAATCTTTAAAAAATCCACGTTTATTTGGTCCTTGAAAAAATGAATCTTTAAAAAATCCATGTTTATTTGGTCCATGAAAAAAGTAATCTTTAAAAAATCCACGTTTATTTGGTCCTTGAAAAAATGAATCTTTAAAAAATCCATGTTTATTTGGTCCATGAAAAAAGTAATCTTTAAAAAATCCACGTTTATTTGGTCCTTGAAAAAATGAATCTTTAAAAAATCCATGTTTATTTGGTCCATGAAAAAAGTAATCTTTAAAAAATCCACGTTTATTTGGTCCTTGAAAAAATGAATCTTTAAAAAATCCATGTTTATTTGGTCCATGAAAAAAGTAATCTTTAAAAAATCCACGTTTATTTGGTCCTTGAAAAAATTAATCTTTAAAAAATCCACGTTCATTTGGTCCTTGAAAAAATTAATCTTTAAAAATCCACGTTTATTTGGTCCTTGAAAAAATTAATTTTTAAAAAATCCACGTTTATTTGGTCCTTGAAAAAATTAATCTTTAAAAAATCCACGTTTATTTGGTCCTTGAAAAAATTTGACTTTATAAAATCCACGTTTATTTGTCCTTTGGTCCTTGAAAAAATTTGACTTTATAAAATCCACGTTTATTTTTTTCCTTTGGTCCTTGAAAAAATTTGACTTTATAAAATCCACGTTTATTTGTCCTTTGGTCCTTGAAAAAATTTGACTTTATAAAATCCAGGTTTATTTTTTTCCTTTGGTCCTTGAAAAAATTTGACTTTATAAAATCCACGTTTATTTGTCCTTGGGTCCTTGAAAAAATTTGACTTTATAAAATCCACGTTTATTTGTCCTTTGGTCCTTGAAAAAATTTGACTTTATAAAATCCACGTTCATTGGTCTTTTGGTCCTTGAAAAATAATCTTTATAAAATCCACGTTTATTGGGCATTTGGTCCTTGAAAAATAATCTTTAAAAAATCCACGTTTATTTGTCCTTTGGTCCTTGAAAAAATTAATCTTTAAAAAATCCACGTTTATGTGTCCTTGGGTGCTTGAAAAAATTAATCTTTAAAAAATCCAAGTTTATTTGTCCTTGGGTCCTTGAAAAAATTAATCTTTAAAAAATCCACGTTTATTTTTCCTTGGGTCCTTGAAAAAAATTAATCTTTAAAAAAAATCCACGTTTATTGGTCGGAAGGTCCTTGAAAAATTTAATCTTTAAAAAATCCAGGTTTATTTGTCCTTTGGTCCTTGAAAAAATTAATCTTTAAAAATTTAATCTTTAAAAAAAATCCACGTTTATTGGTCGGAAGGTCCTTGAAAAATTTAATCTTTAAAAAATCCAGGTTTATTTGTCCTTTGGTCCTTGAAAAAATTAATCTTTAAAAATTTAATCTTTAAAAAAAATCCACGTTTATTGGTCGGAAGGTCCTTGAAAAATTTAATCTTTAAAAAATCAACGTTTATTGGTCGGAAGGTCCTTGAAAAATTTAATCTTTAAAAAATCCACGTTTATTTGTCGGAAGGTCCTTGAAAAATTTAATCTTTAAAAAATCCACGTTTATTGGTCGGAAGGTCCTTGAAAAATTTAATCTTTAAAAAATCCACGTTTATTGGTCGGAAGGTCCTTGAAAAATTTAATCTTTAAAAAATCCACGTTTATTTGTCGGAAGGTCCTTGAAAAATTTAATCTTTAAAAAATCCACGTTTATTTGTCGTTTGGTCCTTGAAAAAATTAAATTTTAAAAAATCCACGTTTATTTGTCGTTTGGTCCTTGAAAAAATTAAACTTTAAAAAATCCACGTTTATTTGTCGTTTGGTCCTTGAAAAAATTAAACTTTAAAAAATCCACGTTGAAAAAAATTAATCTTTAAAAAATCCACGTTGAAAAAATTATCTTAAAAAATTCACGTTTATTTAATCCTTGAAAAAAGTAATCTTTAAAAAATCCACGTTTATTTGTCCTTTGGTCTTTGAGAAAATTAATCTTTAAAATATCCACGTTTTTTTGTCCTTGAAAAAATTAATCTTTAAAAAATCCACGTTTATTTGTCCTTTGATCCTTAAAAAATTAATATTTAACAAATCCATGTTTATTAGCCTTTTGGTTCTTGAAAAATTAATCTTTAAAAATCCACGTTTATTTGGTCCTAGAAAAATACATATTTTTTATTTAAAAAAAAACGTTATTTCATTCGACACTTTGTTCATTGTACAAATCAAAATTATCCTCAATGTGTTCGTATTTCTCACAATAATCGGTGACCTGCTTGATGGAGCCCTCATTGATGACATCGGTGACCATCAGTTGATAGGTGACAACAGTGCCGGCCATCTATGGTTTCAAGTTTCCCAGCCAAAAAAAAATAATACATTTTTTCATTAAAAGTCATGTAAAAGAAATCCCAAAACAAACAACAACAAAGAATCAATATTTACCCCCAATATTAGGCCTCGTGTCAATGAGAAGAACCCCGCCGCTGTAAAGGCTGTAACATCCACCGATAGTTGTTGGCTAAATCGCTGAGTCTTTGAATAAGAAACCAACAGAAAAAATGACACAAAAGATAAACAAAATTAAGAAGAGAGGAAAAAAAGTTTTGGAAATCTTAACAACAAAAGGGACAAGCATGTTGGCAACCTTACCTCCACACACCAGCTCCTGGAGGGGACGTCACGTAAACAGGATACAATTTTTTTCGTATACTCATTGACCAACGATGCCAGATAGAGGGTGAGCAGGGTCCGAACTATGTTGTAGAGCAAAGAGAACCAAAAGGCCATTTCAGCTACCCAATCGACACCAATGTTGCTGCAAGAAAACAGAACAAGAGAGAGAGAGAGAGAGAGAGGGAGAAAGAGAAGAAGAAGTTGACAAAGTTAAGTTGTTCTTTTGTCCTTTCAGACGTCCATTGATGTTATCATAGAAATCGATTTATTCGAATTCATGTTTCGTTGTTGTAGTTGTTTTTTCTTGTTGGACTTACACAAAACTATTGAATAAATGAAAACATATGAAGTACATGTTATTGGCACTGGCCAACAAAATCAGGGCGGATAGCTCATTGTTGACAAGCCGCAAAAGTTTCCTCAGCACCAGATAATGTTCACGAGTTTCCAGCCAAAATATGGCCGGCATGGGCTAGAATTTTGAGAGAGAGAGAGAGAGGAAGAGATGGAGGAATATCGTAAATTTTAACAAATATTCGTTTTAAGATTTTTTTAAAGAATACTTTTTTTAAAAATCCACAATTTTAAAAATCTAAGGATGGAATTGAACTAAGCCTTAAGTGCGAGTCCTTGGAATAAAAATTATTTAAAAATCCACGTCTAAGGTCCTGGGAATAAAAATTATTTAAAAATCCACGTCTAAGGTCCTGGGAATAAAAATTATTTAAAAATCCACGTCTAAGGTCCTGGGAATAAAAATTATTTAAAAATCCACGTCTAAGGTCCTAGGAATAGAAATTATTTAAAAATCCACGTCCAAGGTCCTTGGAATAAAAATTATTTTAAAATCCACGTCTAAGGTCCTTGGAATAAAAATTATTTAAAAATCCACGTCTAAGGTCCTTGGAATAAAAATTATTTAAAAATCCACGTCCAAGGTCCTTGGAATAAAAATCCTTTTAAAATCCACGTCTAAGGTCCTGGGAATAAAAATTATTTAAAAATCCACGTCTAAGGTCCTGGGAATAAAAATTATTTAAAAATCCACGTCTAAGGTCCTGGGAATAAAAATTATTTAAAAATCCACGTCTAAGGTCCTGGGAATAAAAATTATTTAAAAATCCACGTCTAAGGTCCTTGGAATAAAAATTCTTTTAAAATCCATGTCTAAGGTCCTGGGAATAAAAATTATTTAAAAATCCACGTCCAAGGTCCTTGGAATAAAAATCCTTTTAAAATCCACGTCTAAGGTCCTGGGAATAAAAATTATTTAAAAATCCACGTCCAAGGTCCTTGGAATAAAAATTCTTTTAAAATCCATGTCTAAGGTCCTGGGAATAAAAATTATTTAAAAATTCACGTCTAAGGTCCTTGGAATAAAAATTCTTTTAAAATCCACGTTACCTTTCCTTGCACCGCCTTCATGCGAAGGTGGAGTTGACGAAATCGGGCCGCCAAACCAATGCTGATAATTATAATGAAAACATCGGTAAATGAGCGAGGATATGCCAGGGTTAAATTGAGCCACTGAAAATGAGAAAATTTTCAAAATATGAGAAATTATTTCCCACAACAAAAATTAACCCTCATTCTCGAACTCACCTCATATATGGGCAGGGTCCAATATTGAAATGGTATCACCATACTAAGATGGGGCCTCTCGCGCCCATACAACGTCTCCCAATAGCTGACATTCAAATTACATTGCCTTCGCTCCAAATCACTTTTTTGAAATGAATTGAAAACCAGCAATACATGTTCACCTGCAACAAAGAAACTTTCGGTATTTTTCTGTTCTTAAATCGAATTCTGAAAAGAAGCCACTCACAACTACCACCAAACATGATGAGCAAATACCAAAACCATATCCAAAATTTCATATTGAATGTCACATACAGCTGATAGGGTACCTGCAGGAATAGCTCCTCCACTTGGCGCCACTGGCGCATCAGCTTGGGCCACTTCAATGCCAGACGCCAGAAGATGATGTGCTCCCAAATGCAGACGAAGAAAAGAGAGACGGTACCTAAAAACGAGAATACAATAAATGAGGGATTTTGGATTCGGGGGAAAGTCTTTCTAATACCTTACCAGAGGTATGAAAATTCACCCCCGTCTGCCATATGTAGTATATAACCACACCAAATTCCATGATGTCCAAAACAAGGATCACTCCTGAGTATATGCTCGGTATGCTCACCCATTTGAATTTCAGCTTGTTGACATTTTTTTGCCACAGATTTGAGACGGGCAATAAGCCAAAACATTGGGATATGAAAAGGACTGGAGAGACGTAAATAAATTATTTAAAAAATCAAAAAGGCAGTTTTAAGGGTCTTTGGGAAAATAGTCCTCGAAAAAAATCAAAAAAGTTAATAAATAATCCATAGAAAGTCGAAGGCCCTTAGAAAAAGACCCAAAATTTTTTAATTCCTTAAAAAATTATAGTTGTGGTGCCGAAGGTCCTCGAAAATATGCCTTAAATATCCTTAAAATAAAAATGCTTAAAGAAATTCGAAATTTTCCAACAAAAAAATATTTAAAATAAAAATTCTTAAAAATTCAACCTGGAGAAGGTTCCTTGGAATAAAATTTCTTTAAAAATCTAATTTTATAGTGAAGAAGGTCCTTCAAGAAAATCCTAAAAAATCCACATTTATGGTTCCGAAAATCCTTGGCAAAAAATTCATTAAAAATTCACATTTAGATAAAAAAAATCCAATTTTATAGTGGAAAGGTCCTTCAAAAAATCCTTAAAACTCCAGATTTATGTTTCCGAAAATCTTTGGCAAAACATTCTTTAAAAATTCACATTGAGATAAAAAATCTTAAAATCGGAGGTCCTTTGAAAAAAAAATTAAAAAGACACGTTGGAAAAGATATACTTTGAAATTCCTAATCCTTTTCCTTTTAAAATCCACGTCAGAGGTCCTTTTAATACATTTTTATAAAAGTTCACGTCGTAGGTCCTTATGCTTATAAAATCCACGTAATGGTCTTTGAAATACACCTTTATAAAAATTGAAGTCTCAGGTCCTTATCCTTATAAAATCCACTCTAAGGTCATAATCCATATAAAATCCTGGTTTAAGGCCCTTTTTCTTCTAAAATCAACATCGACGGTCTTTATCCCAAAAAAATCACGTCTACGGTTCTTATCCCTTTAAAATCTACGTCTCAGGTCCTTATCCTTATAAAAATTCACATCTAAGGTCCTTATCCCTTTAAAATCTACGTCTAAGGTCCATATCCCTTTAAAAACCACGTCTAAGGTCCTTATCCCTTTGAAACCCTCGTCTTAGGTCCTTATCCCTTTAAAAACCACGTCTAAGGTCCTTATCCCTTTAAAACCCTCGTCTAAGGTCCTTATTCCTTTAAAAACCACGTCTAAGGTCTTTATCCTTATAAACTCCACGTCTCAGGTCCTTATCCTTATAAATTCCACGTCTATGACAAGGCCCTTGAACTAAAAATTATTTTAAAATCCATGACGAAGGTCCTTGTAATAAAAATTATTTTAAAATCCACATCGAAAGTCCTTGAAATAAAAATGTTTATAAAATCCACGTCTAAGGTCCTTAAAATAAAAATTCTTCAAAACTCCACGTCTGAGATCCTTGAAATAATTTTTTTTTATAAAATCCACGTCTTAGGTCCTTAAAATAAAAATATTTATAAAATCCACGTCTTAGGTCCTTGAAATAAAAATGTTTATAAAATCCACGTCTGAGATCCTTGAAATAATTTTTATACCCTCCACCATACTATGGAGGGTATATTAATTTTGTCATTCCGTTTGTAACTCCTCGAAATATTCATGTCAGACCCAACAAAGTATATATATTCTTGATCAGCGTAAAATTCTAAGACGATTTAGCCATGTCCGTCTGTGTGTCTGTCTGTCTGTCTGTTGTAATCACGCTATCTTTCGAACAAATTGAGATAGAAGGCTAAAATTTTGCAAACATGTATTTTTTCCCAGTAGGCAGGTTAAGTTCGTAAATGGGCCATGTAGGTCCAAGTTATCATATAGCCCCCATATAACGGTACCTCCCGATATTCGGTATTTTGATGATTTTAGCGACATTATTCACCGGAATCGTTTCAAATTTGGTATTTGAAGTTCGTAATGGATACTTCATCCAAAGTCAAAGAATGAGCCATGTAGGTCCAAGTTATCATATAGCCCCCATATAACGGTACCTCCCGATATTCGGTATTTTGATGATTTTAGCGACATTATTCACCGGAATCGTTTCAAATTTGGTATTTGAAGTTCGTAATGGATACTTCATCCAAAGTCAAAGAATGAGCCATGTAGGTCCACGTCTTCATATAGCCCCCATATAACGGTACCCCCCGATATTCGGTATTTTGGTGATTTTAGCGACATTGTTTACCGGAATCGTTTCAAATTTGGTATTTGAAGTTCGTAATGGATACTTCATCCAAAGTCAAAGAATGAGCCATGTAGGTCCACGTCTTCATATAGCCCCCATATAACGGTACCCCCCGATATTCGGTATTTTAATGATTTTAGCGACGTTATTTACAGGGATTGTTTCAAATTTCGTATGTGAAGTTCGTAATGGATACTTCAGCCCATGCCAGAAAATTGTCTGTGCAGGTCCACGTCTTCGTATAGCCCCCATATAACGGTACCCCCCATATTCGGTATTTTGACGATTTTAGCTACATTATATACAGTTTTTTCTTCAAGTTTCGCATTTAAATATTGTAATGATTTATGACAAAAGTTGCCTATGCAGGCCCACGTCGTCGTATAAGCATTCGGTATTTTTAAGATTTTAACAGAATTTTTAACGGGTTTTATTTTTAGGAAATTGCCAAATTTGTACCAAATGGTGGAGGGTATTAAAAGTTCGGCCCGGCCGAACTTACAGCTTTTTTACTTGTTTTTTATAAAATCCACGTCTATGGTCCTTGAAATAAAAATATTTATAAAATCCAGGTCTAAGGTCCTTGAAATAAAAATGTTTATAAAATCCACGTCTAAGGTCCTCGAAATAAAATTTCTTAAGAAATCCACATCTAAGGTACTTGAAACCATTTTTTTATGAAATCCACGTCTAAGTTCCTCGAAATAACAATTTTTTTAAAATCACGTCTAAGGGCCTTGAAATAAAATTTTTTATAAAATCCACGTCTAAGTTCCATGAAATAAAAATGTTCATAAAATGTCGTCTAAGGTCCGTGAAATAGAAATATTTATAAAATCCTTGAAATTAAAATTCTTATAAAATCCTGGTATGGTGCCCAAGGTCCTTGAAATAATTTTTCTTATTTTTTTTAATTTATGCCCAACACATGCCATGTATGTGTGCCATGGAATTTTTTCTATTCTCAGCCTTTTCCGTCACTCAAGCAACGTTGCCATAGCATTCCCACCAATGAATCAAGCTGGATTTTAATTACTTATTTTAAAATATATATTTTTCAAATTGAAATCATGAAGAATATAATCAGATCTGTTTTTTTTTTTTTTCGAAATACAACACCTACTTTTCCGCACTGACTGATGGAAAGTTTGCTGTTCCATGACTTTACGTATAGTTTTCGAATGTAATCACACATTTAATTAAATAATATTTTCCACATAGAGTTTTTTTATTTCACTGTCACATATCGTAATACAACCACAATGTTAGCACTCACTCCCCTCTCTCTCTCTGGCACTCTCAACACGATGCCACGATTGAAAAACGCCAAGTTAACTTTTGCTGTTGACAAAAGCGTCTGACTTTAATGAGCAAATTTTAAACTACAAGTAAATCAGCACACAGAAAACGGAAAACTTTACCTTTGAGTTAAAACAAATATGAACAAGGATAAAACACACACACACATGCATGTGTGTATGTGAGTACAGGTCCTTATTGCACAGATAACAAATAGCCAGGCTATCAATGTGTGTATGCGAGTATGCCACTCCATCCATGGATGTTGTCGCATGTCTCCATTTAATTTGTTCGCTATGAATTACAAATGAATGACAAACAATAATACCGCACCGAATTCCTACACTTACCAAGTCAATCATCAACACCTGTCCTCCTTTCCCTCACTGATTTTGACCTCTTTTTTGTGGTCTCGTATTAATGAACGCCCACGCATTGTGGGCAAATGCAATTGGATTCTCAAACCCTTGTCAATACCAGAAAAGAAAACCTTATTTGTCTTATTTTCATTTATTCAATATCTCATTATTAATTTAAAAATATATCCCGCAAGGGCTTCAGCGAAAAAAAAAAACAGCAACAACAATATTTATATGTCATGTAAATAATAATATTCAATACAAAACTCCCCTCCTTTAATACAAACACATACACACACGCTTTGATTTCTTCAACCGCAAAGATCCGGCAAACCCTTGGCACGATTTGGTGCATCAAATTGCAGCAAAACCAATTCGTAGGTCACTATGGTGCCGGCCATCTGAAAAACAAAACAGAAATATATTTTTTATGACCCCAAGTTTTAAGTTTCGGATACTTAGATTTTAAAATAATTTTTTTAAATTCAAAAATTTTTTTAAATTGAAATCTCGAATAAAAGTTGCGAATTCTTAAAAAAAAATCGGGAAAAAATATGTTTTTGATTTCAAAATATAAGATGTTAAAATATGAAATAATAAAGTCCGGTATTTTATTTTGGTTCAGCTCAAGTGGACGCTAGAGCCCACGAAGGCTTACATGTGTCAAGACTGTCAAGTCAAATTTAATTTCCCAACTCTTCGTACAGCCCAAAACCAGCTCGATCTTTCCAAACACCTCCTCCATATCTGAATCCCAAATATCAACAGAGACCTTAATTTCCAATTTGTGATTCCAACATCCCTTCACCCTCTACCAAATTTACTGCTTCCTCAAATACAAAAGGGGTACCACGCCTATCGCTGGGATGTCCCTAAAAAAATTTTAAAAATTGCTGGTATGGCCCTTGAAAAAAAAATATTTAAAAAATCCACGCCTATTGCTGGTATGGCCCTTGAAAAAAAAATTTAAAAATCCACCAATATTGCTGGGATGACCCTTAAAAACAAAAATATTTAAAAAATCCACGCCTATTGCTGGGATGGCCCTTGAAAAAAATATTTAAAAAATCCACGCCTATTGCTGGGATGGCCCTTGAAAAAAATATTTAAAAAATCCACGCCCATTGCTGGGATGACCCTTAAAAACAAAAATATTTAAAAAATCCACGCCTATTGCTGGGATGGCCCTTGAAAAAAATATTTAAAAAATCCACGCCTATTGCTGTGATGGCCCTTGAAAAAAATATTTAAAAAATCCACGCCCATTGCTGGGATGGCCCTTGAAAAAAAAATATTTAAAAAATCCACGCCTATTGCTGGGATGGCCCTTGAAAAAAAATATTTAAAAAATCCACGCCTACTGCTAGGATGACCCTTAAAAACAAAAATATTTAAAAAATCCACGGCTATTGCTAGGATGGCCCTTGAAAAAAAATATTTAAAAAATCCACGCCTATTGCTGGGATGGCCCTTGAAAAAAAATATTTAAAAAATCCACGCCTATTGCTGGGATGGCCCTTGAAAAAAAATATTTAAAAAATCCACCCCTATTGCTGGGATGGCCCTTGAAAAAAAATATTTAAAAAATCCACGCCTATTGCTGGGATGGCCCTTGAAAAAAAATATTTAAAAAATCCACGCCTATTGCTGGGATGGCCCTTGAAAAAAAATATTTAAAAAATCCACGCCTATTGCTGGGATGGCCCTTGAAAAAAAATATTTAAAAAATCCACGCCAATTGCTGGGATGGCCCTTGAAAAAAAAATATTTAAAAAACCCACGCCTATTGCTGGGATGGCCCTTGAAAAAAAATATTTAAAAAATCCACGCCTATTGCTGGGATGGCCCTTGAAAAAGAAAAATATTTTAAAAATCCACGCCTATTGCTGGAATGGCCCTTGAAAAAAAAATTTAAAAAATCCACGCCTATTGCTGGGATGGCCCTTGAAAAAAAAATATTTAAAAAATCCACGCCTATTGCTGGGATGGCCCTTGAAAAAAAATATTTAAAAAATCCACGCCTATTGCTGGGATGGCCCTTGAAAAAAAATATTTTAAAAATCCACGCCTATTGCTGGGATGGCCCTTGAAAAAAAATATTTAAAAAATCTACGACTATTGCTGGGATGGCCCTTGAAAAAAAAATTTTAAAAATCCACGCCTATTGCTGGGATGGCCCTTGAAAAAAAAAATATTGAAAAAATCTACGACTATTGCTGGGATGGCCCTTGAAAAAAAATTTTAAAAATCCACGCCTATTGCTGGGATGGCCCTTGAAAAAAAAATATTTAAAAAATCCACGCCTATTGCTGGGATGGCCCTTGAAAAAAAATATTTAAAAAATCCACGTCTATTGCTGGGATGGCCCTTGAAAAAAAAAATATTTAAAAAATCCACGCCTATTACTTGAAAAAAAAATATTTAAAAAATCCACGCCTATTACTTGAAAAAAAAATATTTAAAAAATCCACACCTATTACTTGAAAAAAAATATTTAAAAAATCCACGCCTATTACTTGAAAAAAAAAAATATTTAAAAAATCCACGCCTATTACTTGAAAAAAAAAATATTTAAAAAATCCACGCCTATTGCTGGGATGGCCCTTGAAAAAAAATATTTAAAAAATCCACGCCTATTGCTGGGATGGCCCTTAAAAAAATATTTATACCTTACCCCAAATAATAGGCGACGGGTCAAAAAGTAGAACTTTTTACCCGACAATGCCACCGTCTGGGTTGTCATTTGAAAAATTAAACGTTCCACCTAAAAAGAAAACAAAATCCCGCTTTTATAATGCACACATGCCTCCACACTCACATACTTACCTCAACACACCACGTGCGACTGGAGACGCGACGCAGCACAGCCAGGCCACCTTTGGACTCATCATTTATCGATGCTGCCGAAAGGAAGGCAAATGCGGTGCGGCCAATCAAATACAACAAAGAATACCAAAAGTAAATGTAATTGATGGGCCAGCGGAGTTTACTTTAAAAGAGAGGGGGAGAGAGAGTGCAGGGGAGAGAAATTCAATTGAATCCTTTTTGGCCTTGCGAACAATTGACAACCACCTCCATACTTACTTGAACACATTCAACAATTGATAACAAACGAAATACAAATTGTTGATACACGACAGCAAAATTATACCCGACAAATCCTCGTCGACACAATCGAGCAGTTCACACAATTTCACATAATGTTCACGTATTTCGATGAACACCGTTTCGGGTACTTCCTGCCGCAAAATCCGTTGAGAAAAAAAAACAAGAGGAAACAATAGAAATTCAATTCTTGGGAGTTTAGTTGTTGGTAATCGCAAATGGGAAGGAAGTTATTGGGGAGAAAATTTTATCCCAAGAATTGACTGCCCCCAAAATTGACAACGATTTTCAATTTTCATTTCGAGAGAGTCTAGACATGACAAATTGAAGAGTTGTCTCCTTTTTTTGTTCGATTTGCCGCCCAGCAATTTAGAGGTGCGAAAATTGTTTCACGTGCCAACTCACCTTGTTAGCCAATTTATTTATACGTGTTGTTATTTGCTCGAAACGATAGGCAATGCCCTTGCTAATCATCATTATGAACATGTCCATGTAGTTCCAGATAAAGGTGCACAGGCCATTGACAATCTGAAAAATAAGAGCATTTTTAAAGAAAGTTATTGGGAAAATTTCTTAAAAATAAAATAAGATCCTTGAAATAAAAATTCTTCTAAAATACACGTCTAAGATCCTTGAAATAAAAATGTTTATGAAATTCACGTCTAAGGTCCTTGAAATAAAAAAAAATAGAAAATCCAGGTCTAAGGTCCTTGAAATAAAAAATGTAGAAAATCCACGTCTAAGGTCCTTGATATAAAAAAAATTAGAAAATCCATGTCTAAGGTCCATGAAATAAAAATACTTATAAAATCCTCACCTAAGTTCCTTGAAATAGAGAAAATTTATAAAATTTACGACTAAGGTCCTTAAAATAAAAATTCTTGTAAAACCACGTCTAAAGACCTTGAAATAAAAATTCTTTTAAAATCCACGTCCAAGGACCTTGAAATAAAAATTCGTCAAACCGAAGTCTGATGTCTTTCAATTAAAAATACTTATAAAATCAACGTCTAAGGTTCTTGAATTTAAAATTCTTCAAAATTCCATAATAAGGTCCATAAATTAAAAATTTTTAAAAAAGTTACGTCTAAGGTTCTTGAAATATTTTTTTTTTAATTAATTTTCGTCTAAGGTCCCTAAATAAAATTCTTACAAATTCCACATTTTTATCCTTGAATTAAAAGTTCTGATAAAATTTACGACTAAAATCCTTGAAATAAAAATTCTCCAAAAATCCACGTCTAAGGTCCTTGAAATAAAAATTCTTCAAAACCCTACGTCTAAAGTCCTTGAAATAAAATTCTCACAAAATTCACGTCTAAGGCCCTTAAAATAAAAATGTTTATGAAATTCTCGCCTAAGGTCCTTTAAATAAAAATTCTTATAAAATTTACGTCTAAGGTCCTTGAAATAAAAATTCTTATAAAATTTACGTCCTTGAAGCAAAATTTAAGGTCCTTGAAGCAAAAATTCTTCAAAAATCCACGTCTAAGGTCCTTGAAATAAAAATTCTTCAAAAATCCACGTCTGGAGTCCTTGAAATAAAAATTCTTATAAAATCCACGTCTAAGGTCCTTAAAATAAAAATTCTTCAAAAATACACTTTTAAGGTCCTTGAAATTAAAAATTCGTATAAAATCCACGTCTAAGGTCCTCCAAATAAAAATTCTTATAAAATCCACGTCTAAGGTCCTTGAAATAAAAATTATTATAAGCTCCACGTCTAAGGTTCTTGAAATAAAAATTGTCATTAAATCCACGTCCAAGGACCTTGAAATAAAAATTCGTATAAAATCCACGTCTAAGGCCCTTGAAATAAATTTGTTTATAAAAACAACGTCTAAGGTCCTTGTATTAAAAAAATTTTTATGAAATTCACGTCTAAGGTCCTTGAAATAGAAATTATTAAAAAATCCACGCATTAGGTCATTGAAATGTTTTTTTTTTTTTTTTTTTTAAATCCACATCTAAGGTCCGTAAAATAAAAAAAAAAATATAAAATCCAAGTCTAAGGTTCCTTGAAATGAAATTTCTACAAAAATCCACGTTCCTTGAAAAATATTCCTTTAGAAATCCACGTTTATTGGTCTTTTGGTCCTTGAAAAATATTCCTTTAGAAATCCACGTTTATTGGTCTTTTGGTCCTTGAAAAATATTCCTTTAAAAATCCACGTTTATTGGTCTTTTGGTCCTTGAAAAATATTCCTTTAAAAATCCACGTTTATTGGTCTTTTGGTCCTTGAAAAATATTCCTTTAAAAATCCACGTTTATTGGTCTTTTGGTCCTTGAAAAATATTCCTTTAAAAATCCACGTTTATTGGTCTTTTGGTCCTTGAAAAATATTCCTTTAAAAATCCACGTTTATTGGTCTTTTGGTCCTTGAAAAATATTCCTTTAAAAATCCACGTTTATTGGTCTTTTGGTCCTTGAAAATATTCCTTTAAAAATCCACGTTTATTGGTCTTTTGGTCCTTGAAAAATATTCCTTTAAAAATCCACGTTTATTGGTCTTTTGGTCCTTGAAAAATATTCCTTTAAAAATCCACGTTTATTGGTCTTTTGGTCCTTGAAAAATATTCCTTTAAAAATCCACGTTTCTTGGTCTTTTGGTCCTTGAAAAATATTCCTTTAAAAATCCACGTTTATTGGTCTTTTGGTCCTTGAAAAATATTCCTTTAAAAACCACGTTTCTTGGTCTTTTGGTCCTTGAAAAATATTCCTTTAAAAATCCAGGTTATTGATCTTTTGGTCCTTGAAAAATATTCCTTTAAAAACCCAGGTTTATTGATCTTTTGGTCCTTGAAAAATATTCCTTTAAAAACCACGTTTATTGATCTTTTGGTCCTTGAAAAATATTCCTTTAAAAATCCAGGTTTATTGATCTTTTGGTCCTTGAAAAATATTCCTTTAAAAATCCACGTTTATTGGTCTTTTGGTCCTTGAAGAATATTCCTTTAAAAATCCACGTTTATTGGTCTTTTGGTCCTTGAAAAATATTCCTTTAAAAATCCACGTTTATTGGTCTTTTGGTCCTTGAAAAATATTCCTTTAAAAATCCACGTATATGGGTCTCTTGGTCCTTAAAAAATATTCCTTTAAAAATCCACGTATATAGGTCTCTTGGTCCTTAAAAAATATTCCTTTAAAAATCCCCATTTATGGGTCTTTTGGTCCTTAAAAATATTCCTTTAAAAATCCACGTTTCTTGGTCTTTTGGTCCTTGAAAAATATTCCTTTAAAAATCCACGTATATGGGTCTCTTGGTCCTTAAAAAATATTCCTTTAAAAATCCCCATTTATGGGTCTTTTGGTCCTTAAAAAATATTCCTTTAAAAATCCACGTTTATTGGTCTTTTGGTCCTTAAAAAATATTCCTTTAAAAATCCACGTATATGGGTCTCTTGGTCCTTAAAAAATATTCCTTTAAAAATCCCCATTTATGGGTCTTTTGGTCCTTAAAAATATTCCTTTAAAAATCCACGTTTATTGGTCTTTTGGTCCTTAAAAATATTCCTTTAAAAATCCCCATTTATGGGTCTTTTGGTCCTTAAAAAATATTCCTTTAAAAATCCACGTTTATTGGTCTTTTGGTCCTTGAAAAATATTCCTTTAAAAATCCACGTATATGGGTCTCTTGGTCCTTAAAAATATTCCTTTAAAAATCCCCATTTATGGGTCTTTTGGTCCTTAAAAAATATTCCTTTAAAAATCCCCATTTATGGGTCTTTTGGTCCTTAAAAAATATTCCTTTAAAAATCCACGTTTATTGGTCTTTTGGTCCTTGAAAAATATTCCTTTAAAAATCCACGTTTATTGGTCCTTGAAAAATATTCCTTTAAAAATCCACGTTTATTGGTCCTTGAAAAATATTCCTTTAAAAATCCACGTTTATTGGTCTTTTGGTCCTTGAAAAATATTCCTTTAAAAATCCACGTTTATTGGTCCTTGAAAAATATTCCTTTAAAAATCCACGTTTATTGGTCTTTTGGTCCTTGAAAAATATTCCTTTAAAAATCCACGTTATTGGTCCTTAAAAAATATTCCTTTAAAAATCCACGTTTATTGGTCTTTTGGTCCTTAAAAAATATTCCTTTAAAAATCCCCATTTATGGGTCTTTTGGTCCTTAAAAAATATTCCTTTAAAAATCCACGTTTATTGGTCTTTTGGTCCTTGAAAAATATTCCTTTAAAAATCCACGTATATGGGTCTCTTGGTCCTTAAAAAATATTCCTTTAAAAATCCCCATTTATGGGTCTTTTGGTCCTTAAAAAATATTCCTTTAAAAATCCCCATTTATGGGTCTTTTGGTCCTTAAAAAATATTCCTTTAAAAATCCACGTTTATTGGTCTTTTGGTCCTTGAAAAATATTCCTTTAAAAATCCACGTTTATTGGTCCTTGAAAAATATTCCTTTAAAAATCCACGTTTATTGGTCTTTTGGTCCTTGAAAAATATTCCTTTAAAAATCCACGTTTATTGGTCCTTGAAAAATATTCCTTTAAAATCCACGTTTATTGGTCTTTTGGTCCTTGAAAAATATTCCTTTAAAAATCCACGTTTATTGGTCCTTGAAAAATATTCCTTTAAAAATCCACGTTTATTGGTCCTTGAAAATATTCCTTTAAAAATCCACGTTTATTGGTCTTTTGGTCCTTGAAAAATATTCCTTTAAAAATCCACGTTTATTGGTCCTTAAAAAATATTCCTTTAAAAATCCACGTTTATTGGTCTTTTGGTCCTTGAAAAATATTCCTTTAAAAATCCACGTATATGGGTCTCTTGGTCCTTAAAAAATATTCCTTTAAAAATCCCCATTTATGGGTCTTTTGGTCCTTAAAAAATATTCCTTTAAAAATCCACGTTTATTGGTCTTTTGGTCCTTGAAAAATATTCCTTTAAAAATCCACGTTTATTGGTCCTTGAAAAATATTCCTTTAAAAATCCACGTTTATTGGTCTTTCGGTCCTTGGAAAAAATATTTTTCAAAAAACCACGTTTATTGGTCTTTTGGTCCTTGAAAAATATTCCTTTAAAAATCCACGTTTCTTGGTCTTTTGGTCCTTGAAAAATATTCCTTTAAAAATCCAGGTTTATTGATCTTTTGGTCCTTGAAAAATATTCCTTTAAAAAACCACGTTTATTGGTCTTTTGGTCCTTGAAAAATATTCCTTTAAAAATCCAGGTTTATTGATCTTTTGGTCCTTGAAAAATATTCCTTTAAAAAACCACGTTTATTGGTCTTTTGGTCCTTGAAAAATATTCCTTTAAAAATCCAGGTTTATTGATCTTTTGGTCCTTTAAAAATAATTTCTTTTAAAAATCCACGTTTATTGGTCTTTTGGTCCTTGAAAAATATTCCTTTAAAAATCCACGTTTATTGGTCTTTTGGTCCTTGAAAAATATTCCTTTAAAAATCCACTTTTATTGCTCAGAAGGTCCTTGAAGAATAATCTTTAAAAATCCAATTTTATTGGTCTTTTGGTCCTTTTCACGTTTATTGATCTTTGAAATAATATCTTTAAAAAATCTAAGGACTGAAAAGTACTTACCAAAATAAAAACCCCAATAAACATGTTGTGTGGTAGAATCTGAAAAACGTAATCATAATTTTTTAGAATATAATTATTGAATGAAATATCCGCTGTGGCGTTGATCAGCGGAGCACAGGTCTCTTGAGTTCGTTTAAAGGAGAAAACTGCTGATGCCAAATAGAGGCCATGTTCAGCTGAAAAGGGGGAAAATTACATTTTTAAAACCATTTATTCGAACAATTATGCAATCAACCTACCAACCGACATCAAAATAATAACCGTGGCCGCCAGTCGTATCCGAAAGGCCAGATTCCTCTTGGGCATCTCATAGGGCTTTTGGGTAAAAATCGATTCGATGCGATACCAATAACGCATCAATCTCGGCCAGTGGGGAGCCAACAGCGCGAATAGAACACAAGAGCATTGAACACAGCCGAAAAATGCCAAACCAACTAGAAATTATGGTGAATGTGGTTAACATAGAGGGGGTATATATGGGACCTTTACTCACCAAAATTCTTCGCATTTATACCAATCTTGAGTAAGTGTTTTAATGTTGTCAGGGTTAGTATTAAATTGCAGCACATGAAGAACAATGTTATGAGTACTTGAATGGACTTTAGAGAGAATCTCAAATGTTTCGGATTTGAGCGTCGGATACCACGCACGGGTAGAATGGCAAAACATTGGCCTAGAAAGAGAACTAGAAAAAATAAAAAAACAATTTAGAGAATCTTTTGTCTTTCAAGGATCAAAGGACAAATAAACGTGGTTTTTTAAAGAGTATTTTTTCCATGGACCAAAAGACCAATAAACGTGGATTTTTAAAGAATATTTTTTCTAAGGACCAAAAGCCCAATAAACGTGGATATTTAAAAAATATTTTTTCCAAGGACCAAAAGACCAATAAACCTGGATTTTAAAAAAAAAATCCAAGGACCAACGTGGATTTTTAAAAAAATAATTTCCAAGGACCTCCAACGTGGATTTTTAAAGAATATTTTTTCTAAGGACCAAAAGACCAATAGACGTGGATTTTTAAAAAATATTTTTTCCAAGGACCAAAAGACCGATAAACGTGAATTTTTAAAAAATAATTTTTTTCCAACGGCCAGAAGACCAATAAACGTGGATTTTTACAAAATATTTTTTCCAAGGACCAAAAGACCAATAAACCTGGATATTTAAAAAATATTTTTTCCAAGGACCAAAAGACCAATAAACCTGGATTTTTAAAAAATATTTTTTTCCAAGGACCAAAATACCAATAAACCTGGATTTTTAAAAAATATATTTTCTCCAACGGCCAGAAGACCAATACACGTGGATTTTTACAAAATATTTTTTCCAAGGACCAAAAGACCAATAAACCTGGATTTTTAAAAAATATTTTTTCCTAGGACCAAAAGACCAATAAACCTGGATTTTTAAAAAATATTTTTTCCAAGGACCAAAAGACCAATAAAACTGGATTTTTAAAAAAATATTTTTTCCAAGGACCTAATGACCAATAAACGTGGATTTTTAAAGAATATTTTTTCCAAGGACCAAAAGACCAATAAACGTGGATTTTTAAAGAATATTTTTTCCAAGGACCAAAAGACCAATAAACCTGGATTTTTAAAAAATATTTTTTCCAAGGACCAAAAGACCAATAAAACTGGATTTTTAAAAAAATATTTTTTCCGAGGACCTCAAGATGGATTTTTAAAAAAATATTTTTTCCAAGGACCTAATGACCAATAAACCTGTATTTTTAAAAAAATATTTTTTCCAAGGACCAAAAGACCAATAAACGTGGATTTTTAAAAAATATTTTTTCCAAGGACCTAATGACCAATAAACCTGTATTTTTAAAAAAATATTTTTTCCAAGGATCAAAAGACCAATAAACGTGGATTTTTAAAAAATATTTTTTCAAGGACCTCAAACGTGGATTTTTAAAAAAATTTTTCCATGGACCTCAAACGTGGATTTTTAAAAAATATTTTTTCAAGGACCTCAAACGTGGATTTTTAAAAAAATTTTTCCATGGACCTCAAACGTGGATTTTTAAAAAATATTTTTTCCAAGGACCAAAAGACCAATAAACGTGGATTTTTAAAAAATATTTTTTCCAACGACCAAAAGACCAATAAACGTGGATTTTTTAAAAATTATTTTCCAAGGACCTCAAACGTGGATTTTTATAAAATATTTTTTCCAAGGACCTCAAACGTGGATTTTTTAAGAATATTTTTTTCCAAGGACATCAAACGTGGATTTTTAAAAAATTTTTTTCCAAGGACCTCCAACGTGGATTTTTAAAGAATATTTTTTCCAAGGACCTCAAACGTGGATTTTTTAAGAATATTTTTTTCCAAGGACATCAAACGTGGATTTTTAAAAAATTTTTTTCCAAGGACCTCCAACGTGGATTTTTAAAGAATATTTTTTCCAAGGACCAAAAGAACAATAACCGTGGATTTTTAAAGAATATTTTTTCCAAGGACCAAAAGAACAATAAACGTGGATTTTTAAAGAATATTTTTCAAGAGCCAAATGACAAATAAACGTGGATTTTTTAAAGAATATTTTTCAAGGACCAAATGACAAATAAACTTAGATTTTTAAAGAATATTTTTTCAAGGACCAAAAGACCAATAAACTTGGATTTTTTAAATAATATTTTTTCAAGGACCAAAAGACCAATAAACGTGGATTTTTAAAAAATATTTTTTCCAAGGACCTAATGACCAATAAACCTGTATTTTTAAAAAAATATTTTTTCCAAGGACCAAAAGACCAATAAACGTGGATTTTTGAAAAATATTTTTCCAAGGACCTCAAACGTGGATTTTTATAAAATATTTTTTCCAAGGACCTCAAACGTGGATTTTTTAAGAATATTTTTTTCCAAGGACCTCAAACGTGGATTTTTTAAGAATATTTTTTTCCAAGGACCTCCAACGTGGATTTTTAATGAAAATTTTTTCCAAGGGCCTCCAACGTGGATTTTTTAAGAATATTTGTTCCAAGGACAAAAGACCAATAAACGTGGATTTTTAAAAAAAATATTTTTTCCAAGGACCAAAAGACCAATAAACCTGGATTTTTAAAAAATATTTTTTCCAAGGACCAAAAGACCACTAAACCTGGATTTTTAAAAAATATTTTTTCCAAGGACCAAAAGACCAATAAAACTGGAATTTTAAAAAAATGTTTTTTTCCGAGGACCAATAGACCAATAAACGTGGATTTTTAAAAAATATTTTTTCCGAGGACCTCAAACGTGGATTTTTGAAAAATATTTTTTCCAAGGACCAAAAGACCAATAAACGTGGATTTTTAAAAAATATTTTTTCCAAGGACCTCAAACGTGGATTTTTGAAAAATATTTTTTCCAAGGACCTCAAACGTGGATTTTTGAAAAATATTTTTTCCAAGGACCAATAGACCAATAAACGTGGATTTTTAAAAAATATTTTTTCCAAGGACCTCAAACGTGGATTTTTGAAAAATATTTTCCAAGGACATCAAACGTGGATTTTTAAAAAATTTTTTCCAAGGACCTCAAACGTGGATTTTTAAAGAATATTTTTTCCAAGGACCAAAAGAACAATAACCGTGGATTTTTAAAGAATATTTTTTCCAAGGACCAAAAGAACAATAACCGTGGATTTTTAAAGAATATTTTTTCCAAGGACCTCAAACGTGGATTTTTAAAGAATATTTTTTCCAAGGACCTCCAACGTGGATTTTTAAAGAATATTTTTTCCAAGGACCTCCAACGTGGATTTTTAAAGAATATTTTTTCCAAGGACCTCAAACGTGGATTTTTAATAAATATTTTTCCATGGACCTCAAATGTGGATTTTTAATAAATATTTTTTCCAAGGACCTCCAACGTGGATTTTAAAGAATATTTTTTGCAAGGACCTCCAACGTGGATTTTTAATGAAAATTTTTTCCAAGGGCCTCCAACGTGGATTTTTTAAGAATATTTGTTCCAAGGACAAAAGACCAATAAACGTGGATTTTTAAAAAAAAATATTTTTTCCAAGGACCAAAAGACCAATAAACGTGGATTTTTAAAAAAAAATATTTTTTCCAAGGACCAAAAGACCAATAAACCTGGATTTTTAAAAAATATTTTTTCCAAGGACCAAAAGACCAATAAACCTGGATTTTTAAAAATATTTTTTCCAAGGACCAAAAGACCAATAAAACTGGAATTTAAAAAAAATGTTTTTTTCCGAGGACCAAAAGACCAATAAACGTGGATTTTTAAAAAATATTTTTTCCGAGGACCTCAAACGTGGATTTTTGAAAAATATTTTTTCCAAGGACCAAAAGACCAATAAACGTGGATTTTTAAAAAATATTTTTTCCAAGGACCTCAGACGTGGATTTTTGAAAAATATTTTTTCCAAGGACCAATAGACCAATAAACGTGGATTTTTAAAAAATATTTTTTCCAAGGACCTCAAACGTGGATTTTTGAAAAATATTTTTTCCAAGGACCTCAAACGTGGATTTTTGAAAAATATTTTTTCCAAGGACCAATAGACCAATAAACGTGGATTTTTAAAAAATATTTTTTCCAAGGACCTCAAACGTGGATTTTTGAAAAATATTTTTTCCAAGGACCAATAGACCAATAAACGTGGATTTTTAAAAAATATTTTTTCCAAGGACCTCAAACGTGGATTTTTAAAAAATTTTTTCCAAGGACCTCAAACGTGGATTTTTAAAAAATTTTTTCCAAGGACCTCAAACGTGGATTTTTAAAGAATATTTTTTCCAAGGACCAAAAGAACAATAACCGTGGATTTTTAAAGAATATTTTTTCCAAGGACCAAAAGAACAATAACCGTGGATTTTTAAAGAATATTTTTTCCAAGGACCTCAAACGTGGATTTTTAAAGAATATTTTTTCCAAGGACCTCCAACGTGGATTTTTAAAGAATATTTTTTCCAAGGACCTCCAACGTGGATTTTTAAAGAATATTTTTTCCAAGGACCTCCAACGTGGATTTTTAAAGAATATTTTTTCCAAGGACCTCAAACGTGGATTTTTAATAAATATTTTTCCATGGACCTCAAATGTGGATTTTTAATAAATATTTTTTCCAAGGACCTCCAACGTGGATTTTAAAGAATATTTTTTCCAAGGACCTCCAACGTGGATTTTTAAAGAATATTTTTTGCAAGGACCTCCAACGTGGATTTTTAAGGAACATTTTTTCCAAGGACCTTCAATGTGGATTTTTAAAGAATATTTTTTCCAATGACCTCCAACTTGGATTTTTAAAGAATATTTTTTCCAAGGACCTCCAACGTAGATTTTTCAAAAATATTTTTTCCAAGGACCAAAATACCAATAAATCATCAGACAAATAATCGTATATTTTTTTATGCTCTGAAAATCTCTCATACTCACTTGGACTCACAGCCTTTTGAAACGTATCATCCGTACTGTTATTATCCACTACGTCCTCCTCCTCCATCTGAGATTGCCGTTCCACAGGATAATTTTTATTCGGTTTATAAATCGAAAAAAAACTCTCATTCAAATTCATATTTTCAATTGGTGTTTGAGATTTACGTTTGCTTGGCGACTCCGCAAAATTATTCGATTCGTCTGCACTATCCCCATTCCGATCATAATTAGGCAAAGCATAGTCGTTATTCTCGCCATTTGGACTGCCTCGCACATAATTCACCTCTTCGACAATCAGAGTTTTTCCGGCCGATTTGTTGACAACATTTCGTAAAGAGAGATTTGATTTTTTCGAAAATCGATCAATGCAATTCGATTGACTCATGATGGGAGGATATTTATTCAATTTTTTCTTCTAAATATTTTTTAAATAAATTCACAAATTTCTCACGTTTTCACTCGTTTACGATTTTGCGGATAATGAAAAGGTCGTCTATGGTGTTTGCTGTTTTTATATCCTAACTGCCACCACATGACCAAGACGGGGGCGTTATTGTTTTCCCCTGCATTGCACAGACACAGAAGTGTCAACCACTCGGATGATGAATATTTTATGAGATAAGTACCGGTTAATGCGAACATAAAGTACGGTCTTTGACCAACATTCCTGTCATGCAACGCCGCCGACAATGATAATGCCGCAAAAAATGTTTTGCGAAAAAAATATTGCAAAAAGCAAATAATGACAAACAAATAAGGTGACCAGAGGGACTGGGAAGCCTTGTGTAAAGGGAAACATCGCATCACCCAAGGATATATTAGGGGCGAACAAATGGTGAGATTAGATAAGGGGAGTGGTTTTTATAAAAAGTTGAAATAAACGTGGATATTTAAAGGATATTTGTCCAAGGACCATTAGACCAATAAACGTGGATTTCTTAAAGAATATATCTGCATGGACCAAACGACAAATAAACGTGGATTTTTTAAAGAATATTTTTTAAGGACCAAACGACAAATAGACCTGATTTTTTAACGTTTCTTTTTCAAGGACCAAAAGACGTTGATTTTTAAGGAAATTTTGTATGGAACCAATAGGCGTGGATTTTTAAAGATATTTTATTTTTTCAAGGACCAATAAACTTGGATTTTTTAAAGAATGTTTTTTCAAGGACCAATAAACTTGGATTTTTTAAAAAATATTTTTTCAAGGACCCAAAGACCAAAAAACGTTGATTTTTTAAATAATATTTTTTCAAGACCCAAGGACCAATAAACATAGATTTTTTAAAGAATATATTTTTAATGACCTTCCACTCAAAAAAACGTGGATTTTTTAAAGAATATTTTTTCAAGGACCTTCCACTTAATAAACGTGGATTTTTTAATGCATATTTTTTTAAGGACCAAATAAACGTGGATTTATTAAAGGTTGCTTTTTTCAAGGTCCAAAGGACAAATAAATGTGAATTTTTTAAAGATTAATTTTTTCAAGGACCAAAGGACAAATAAACGTGGATTTTTTAAAGATTAATTTTTTCAAGGACAAATAAACCTGGATTTTTTAAAGATTAATTTTTTTCAAGGACCAAAGGACCAATAAACGTGGATTTTTTAAAGAATATTTTTTTCAAGGACCAAATAAACGTGGTTTTTTTAAAGAATATTTTTACAAGGACCCAAGGACCAATAAACGTGGATTTTTTAAAGAATATTTTTACAAGGACCCAAGGACCAATAAACGTGGATTTTTTAAAGAATATTTTTACAAGGACCCAAGGACCAATAAACGTGGATTTTTTAAAGAATATTTTTACAAGGACCCAAGGACCAATAAACGTGGATTTTTTAAAGAATATTTTTACAAGGACCCAAGGACCAATAAACCTGGATTTTTAAAAAATATTTTTTCCAAGGACCTCAAACGTGGATTTTTGAAAAATATTTTTTCCAAGGACCAAAAGACCAATAAACCTGGATTTTTAAAAAATATTTTTTCCAAGGACCAAAAGACCAATAAACCTGGATTTTTAAAAAATATTTTTTCCAAGGACCAAAAGACCGATAAACGTGGTTTTTTAAAAAATATATTTTTTCCAACGGCCAGAAGACCAATAAACGTGGATTTTACAAAATATTTTTTCCAAGGACCAAAAGACCAATAAACCTGGATTTTTAAAAAATATTTTTTCCAAGGACCAAAAGACCAATAAACCTGGATTTTTAAAAAATATTTTTTCCAAGGACCAAAAGACCAATAAACCTGGATTTTTAAAAAAAATATTTTTTCCGAGGACCTCAAGATGGATTTTTAAAAAAATATTTTTTCCATGGACCAAAAGACCAATAAACGTGGATTTTTAAAAAATATTTTTTCCAAGGACCTAATGACCAATAAACCTGTATTTTTAAAAAATATTTTTTCCAAGGACCAAAAGACCAATAAACGTGGATTTTTAAAAAATATTTTTTCCAAGGACCTCAAACGTGGATTTTTGAAAAATATTTTTTCCAAGGACCTCAAACGTGGATCTTTATAAAATATTTTTTCCAAGGACCTCAACCGTGGATTTTTAAAAAATATTTTTTCCAAGGACCTCAAACGTGGATTTTTACAGAATATTTTTTCCATGGACTTCAAACGTGGATTTTTATAAAATATTTTTTCCAAGGACCTCAAACGTGGATTTTTTATGAATATTTTTTTTCCAAGGACCTCCAACGTGGATTTTTAATGAATATTTTTTCCAAGGACCTCCAACGTGGATTTTTAATGAATATTTTTTCCAAGGACCTCCAACGTGGATTTTTAAAGAATATTTTTTCCAAGGACAAAAGACCAATAAACGTGGATTTTTAAAAAAAATATTTTTTCCAAGGACCTAAAGACCAATAAACCTGGATTTTTAAAGAATATTTTTTCCAAGGACCAAAAGACCAATAACCGTGGATTTTTAAAGAATATTTTTTCCAAGGACCAAAAGACCAATAACCGTGGATTTTTAAAGAATATTTTTTCCAAGGACCAAAAGACCAATAACCGTGGATTTTTAAAGAAAAATTTTTTTCCAAGGGCCTCAAACGTGGATTTTTAAAGAATATTTTTTCCAAGGACCTCAAATGTGGATTTTTAAAGAATATTTTTTCCAAGGACCTCAAATGTGGATTTTTAAAGAATATTTTTTCCAAGGACCTCAAACGTGGATTTTTAAAGAATATTTTTTCCACGGACCTCAAATGTGGATTTTTAAAGAATATTTTTTCCAAGGACCTCAAACGTGGATTTTTAAAGAATATTTTTTCCAAGGACCTCAAACGTGGATTTTAAAAGAATATTTTTTCCAAGGACCTCAAACGTGGATTTTAAAAGAATATTTTTTCCAAGGACCTCAAACGTGGATTTTAAAAGAATATTTTTTCCAAGGACCTCAAACGTGGACCAAAAGTCCAATAAATGTGGATTTTTAAAGAATATCTTTTCCAAGGACCTCAAACGTGGATTTTTAAAGAATATTTTTTCCAAGGTCCATAAGACCAATAAACGTGGAATTTTAAAGAATTATTTCCAAGGACCTCAAACGAGGATTTTTAAAGAATATTTTTTCCAAGGACCTCAAACGTGGTATTTTAATGTTGTAAAAATGCCTCATACTTACTTGGACTCACAGCTTTTTGAAACGTATCATCCGTACTGTTATTGTCCACCACATCCTCCTCCTCCAGCTGTGATTCCACAGGATAATTTTTATTCGGTTTATAAATCGGCGACTCCGCAAAATTATTCGATTCATCTGCACTATCCCCGTTCCGATCATAATTAGGCAAAGCGTAATCGTTATCCTCGCCATTTGGACTGCCTTGCACATAATTCACCTCTTCGACAATCAGAGTTTTCCCGACCGATTTGTTGACAACATTTCGTAAAGAGAGATTTGATTTTTTCGAAAATCGATCAATGCAATTCGATTGACTCATGATGGGAGGATAATTATTCAAGATTTTTTTCAAAATATTTTTTTAAGTAAATTCCCAAATTTCTCACGTTTTCACTCGTTTACGATTTTGCGGATAATGAAAAGGTCGTCTATGGTGTTTGCTGTTTTTATATCTTAACTGCCACCACATGACCAAGACGGGGGCGTTATTGTTTTCCTCTGCATTGCACAGACACAGAAGTGTCAACCACTCGGATGATGAATATTTTATGAGATAAGTACCGGTTAATGCGAACATAAAGTACGGTCTTTGACCAACATTCCTGTCATGCAACGCCGCCGACAATACTAATGCCGCAAAAAATGTTTTGCGAAAAAAATTTTGCAAAAAGCAAATAATGACAAACAAATAAGGTGACCAGAGGGACTGGGAAGCCTTGTGTAAAGGGAAACATCACTTTCTTAAGCAAGGATATATTATGGATGAACAAATAGTGAGATTAGGGAAGGGGAGTAGATTTGGAAAAGGACCAAATAAACGTGGATATTTAAAGAATATTTGTTTAAGGACAGTTCGACCAATAATCGAGGATTTTTTAAAGAATATTTTTACAAGGACTCAAGGACCAATAAACGTGGATTTTTTAAAGATAATTTTTTTCAAGGACCAAATAAACGTGGATTTTTTAAAGATTATTTTTTTCAAGGACCAAATAAACGTGGATTTTTTAAAGATTATTTTTCTCAAGGACCAAATAAACGTGGATTTTTTAAAGATTATTTTTTTCAAGGACCAAATAAACGTGGATTTTTTAAAGATTATTTTTTTCAAGGACCAAATAAACGTGGATTTTTTAAAGATTATTTTTTTTTTCACGTACCAAATAAACGTGAATTTTAAAAATTATTTTTTTCAAGGACCAAATAAACGTGGATTTTTTAAAGATTTTTTTTTTCAAGAACCAAATAAACGTGGATTTTTTAAAGATTATTTTTTCAAGGACCAAATAAACGTGGATTTTTTAAAGATTATTTTTTTCAAGGACCAAATAAACGTGGATTTTTTAAAGATTTTTTTTTCAAGAACCAAATAAACGTGGATTTTTTAAAGATTATTTTTTTCAAGGACCAAATAAACATGGATTTTTTAAAGATTATTTTTTTCAAGGACCAAATAAACGTGGATTTTTTAAAGATTATTTTTTTCAAGGACCAAATAAACGTGGATTTTTTAAAGATTATTTTTTTCAAGGACCAAATAAACGTGGATTTTTTAAAGATTATTTTTTTCAAGGACCAAATAAACGTGGATTTTTTAAAGATTATTTTTTTCAAGGACCAAATAAACGTGGATTTTTTAAAGATTATTTTTTTCAAGGACCAAATAAACGTGGATTTTTTAAAGATTATTTTTTTCAAGGACCAAATAAACGTGGATTTTTTAAAGATTATTTTTTTCAAGGACCAAATAAACGTGGATTTTTTAAAGATTATTTTTTTCAAGGACCAAATAAACGTGGATTTTTTAAAAATTATTTTTTTTTCACGTACCAAATAAACGTGAATTTTAAAAATTATTTTTTTCAAGGACCAAATAAACGTGGATTTTTTAAAGATTTTTTTTTCAAGAACCAAATAAACGTGGATTTTTTAAAGATTATTTTTTTCAAGGACCAAATAAACGTGGATTTTTTAAAGATTATTTTTTTCAAGGACCAAATAAACGTGGATTTTTTAAAGATTTTTTTTTCAAGAACCAAATAAACGTGGATTTTTTAAAGATTATTTTTTTCAAGGACCAAATAAACATGGATTTTTTAAAGATTATTTTTTTCAAGGACCAAATAAACGTGGATTTTTTAAAGATTATTTTTTTCAAGGACCAAATAAACGTGGATTTTTTAAAGATTATTTTTTTCAAGGACCAAATAAACGTGGATTTTTTAAAGATTATTTTTTTCAAGGACCAAATAAACGTGGATTTTTTAAAGATTATTTTTTTCAAGGACCAAATAAACGTGGATTTTTTAAAGATTATTTTTTTAAAGGACCAAATAAACGTAGATTTTGTAAAGATTATTTTTTTCAAGGACCAAATAAACGTGGATTTTTTAAAGATTATTTTTTCAAGGACCAAATAAACGTGGATTTTTTAAAGATTATTTTTTTCAAGGGCCAAATAAACGTGGATTTTTTAAAGATTATTTTTTTCAAGGACCAAATAAACGTGGATTTTTTAAAGATTATTTTTTTAAAGGACCAAATAAACGTAGATTTTTTAAAGATTATTTTTTTCAAGGACCAAATAAACGTGGATTTTTTAAAGATTATTTTTTTCAAGGACCAAATAAACGTGGATTTTTTAAAGATTATTTTTTCAAGGACCAAATAAACGTGGATTTTTTAAAGATTATTTTTTTCAAGGACCAAATAAACGTGGATTTTTTAAAGATTATTTTTTTCAAGGACCAAATAAACGTGGATTTTTTAAAGATTATTTTTTTCAAGGACCAAATAAACGTGGATTTTTTAAAGATTATTTTTTTCAAGGACCAAATAAACGTGGATTTTTTAAAGATTATTTTTTTCAAGGACCAAATAAACGTGGATTTTTTAAAGATTATTTTTTTCAAGGACCAAATAAACGTGGATTTTTTAAAGAATATTTTTTTCAAGGACCAAATAAACGTGGATTTTTTAAAGAATATTTTTTTCAAGGACCAAATAAACGTGGATTTTTTAAAGATTATTTTTTTCAAGGACCAAATAAACGTGGATTTTTTAAAGATTATTTTTTTCAAGGACCAAATAAACGTGGATTTTTTAAAGATTATTTTTTTCAAGGACCAAATAAACGTGGATTTTTAAAGATTATTTTTTTAAAGGACCAAATAAACGTAGATTTTTTAAAGATTATTTTTTTCAAGGACCAAATAAACGTGGATTTTTTAAAGATTATTTTTTCAAGGACCAAATAAACGTGGATTTTTTAAAGATTATTTTTTTCAAGGACCAAATAAACGTGGATTTTTTAAAGAATATTTTTTTCAAGGACCAAATAAACGTGGATTTTTTAAAGATTATTTTTTTCAAGGACCAAATAAACGTGGATTTTTTAAAGATTATTTTTTTCAAGGACCAAATAAACGTGGATTTTTTAAAGATTATTTTTTTCAAGGACCAAATAAACGTGGATTTTTTAAACATTACTTTTTTTCAAGGACTAGAAGGAACCTGAATTATTATTTTATTTTCTATTTTTAATATATTTTTCTGGATGTGTGTACCTCTTCATATTTGTTTGCATATTTGAGTCTAAACGATTTATTTATTTATCATTTTTCACCTCCGCCAGTTGACACACCCAAATATTGCATGAGTGAATGTTGTCACTGTTGTTGAATATTGACAGAAAAAGCGGAAAATTATGGAGAAAAGGATAATTTGTGACGTTTCAAAAAAATTTTACAAACATACAAATTCACCGATTTGATTTTGAAGATTTCGCGATGAAATATTTTTTCGTGGAATTTTGGGAATGTGTCTTAAAGGATTGATTCTCAGAAGGTCCTTGAGAAATATCCTTAAAAAAAATTTTTTTTAAAGGCCTTCGGTCCCTGGAAGACCTTTTTAGGGTCTTCAAATAATGGCGAAAAAAAAAATCTGATTATAATTTACTTTGACAAAATTAATGACCCCCAATTAACTGAACGCAGAATTGCCAATGAGCTGCGAATTATGAATGAGTGCGTTTTAATTGGCTCATTATAATTACTTAATACAACTGTCTGTCTGTTTTCACAACAGCGCCAACAACAACAACACCCTTAAAACTTTATACCCAGACCCCATAATTATATTCAAATAATTTCGATACGAATCACAGGTATTAGATATCAACATGCATTCATAATTGTGGCCAGGGTGAGACACCTTGTGGCAACCCGCAAATGTGGTCATCAGTTTCGAATGGAATTTGCCATACTCAAGGTGTTCGGAAAAAAAACAAAAATATGCCTCTCTCCAAATACCATTGGAAAGTTTGGACAAATCTCAAACTACGAAGACGCGAACAAAAACGAATTTTAAATAAATTTGCCCAGCTACATCATCGACAGGATTTTGGTAATTTGGATACGTTTCATCGGGCCATGAGACCATGTGGGGCTTTGGAAATTTTCCCTGGAATTTCAGAAATTAATTTGTAATTCTTCTCTTCTCATAAAGGTTTGCTGTTGGCTCAAATATTTGGCCTTATGCCCTTGGTCAACTCGATGTCCTGCAATCCTTATCGCCTTGCTTTCAAAATACCCTGCCTGACATTTACCACAACCGTGCTTTTTCTATTTTTTGGCAGCTGGAAAACCCTACATGTCTCCGATAGTCTGCTGAAGGTTGGATTGAATCCAAAAAATATAAGTAAGTTCCATGACCGCCAATAACACTGGGAGGCAAAATTTATTTTATTATTTTTTTTTCTTTTTTTTTTTTGGTGGGGAATTCCAGCAGATTATGAAAGTAGGGCTAAAACAAGTAAAAAAGCTGAGAATTCGGCAAGGCCGAACTTTGAATACCCTCCACCATTTGGAACGAATTTGGCAAATTTTTATAAAAATAAAATCCGTTAAATATTCTGTTAAATTCTTTAAAATACCAAATGTAGTCGTACGACCACGTGGTCCTGCATAGGCAACTTTTGTCATATTCAAATCCGAAACAGGAAAACAATTACTTCAGCCTATGACAGAAAATTTTCTGTGCAGGTCCACGTCTTCGTATAGCCCCCATATAACGGTACCTCCCAATATTCGGTGATGATTTTAGCGTCATTATTCACCGGAATTGTTTCAAATTACGTATTTAGAGTTCGTAATGGGAACTACAGTCTGTGACAGAAAATTGTCTATGCAGGTCCAGGTATTCGTTTAAGCTCTTATATACAGTACCTCTCTATATTCGGTATTTTAAAGTGTTTAAGTATAATACCCAGCGAAATTGTTTGAGATGTCGTATTTGAAGTTCGTAATGTAATGTATGCTAAAGCCTGTGATAGAAAATTGTCTATGCAGGTCCAGATCTTCACACAGTTCCGATATAACGGAACCTCCCTGTATACGACATTCGAATTTGAATATGGTAATGGCTTATGACAAACAATGCCTATGTATGTTGGAGTCCACGTCGTATAGACCCCAATATAACGAATATTTTTAAGGATTTTATTTTTTGAAAAATTCCAAATTCGTTTCAAATGGTGGAGGGCCGGGCCGAACTTTCTGCATTTAACTTGATTATTATTTTTATTATTTTTTTTTATTATTTTATTATTCGACAAAATATTGCGATTTTTTTTTAATTCTTCCGATCAATTTTAATATTTTTTTTAATTTTTTTCAACTAATTATAACGGATTTTTTTTTCGAAATATATTTTGAGATAATCTCTTCAATTTTTTTAATTTCCAGTTGGCATGTTCTTTTTCTTCATGTGTATGACAGTTTTTCTAAATTTCCTGAGCATAGCTCGGGGTTGGCCTGAACTAATTATGCACTGGACACGAATTGATTTGATATTCCTGAAGCCTCCCTATCAGCCGCCTAAATGGTCCCTGCTGAAACAGTTGCGAATCCTAACGGTAGTTTTTTGGTCCTTGGCCTTTTGTGAGTGGAAAGATTACTATTCTGTCATAAACGAATAATAAACAAACTTTTCCCTTGCTTTTAGTGGAAAATGGCATGTACTTTGCCTCCCACTACTATAACTTCCTGATGGAACGCCTAGTCTGCCATCCGGAGGATACCCGCCACTCTTACAAGGAATATTTAGAAACGGCCCTGATGAGTGATGTCTTCACCTATTTCGACTATCACATTATGGTGGTGATTTTGACGTTTGTATGTTGACTTCCAGATTACTAATCCTTGCGAATGTCCTTAAAAATTTGTGGTACAAAAAGTGATTTTTTTTCCAAAAAAAAAAAAAAAAAAAAAACATAATTTTAGTATCACGAATTGTGGGATATGGGAATTACTCCCTCATTTTAGAGTAATTTTTTTTTTAATTTTCTAACATCCTCCACTTCTCAACTCTTTTCTCTACAGTTTTTCAATACCGCTTTTACGGTCACCTGGAATTTTATGGATTTCTTCATTATGGCTGTTAGTTTGGGCATTGCAACACGCTTCCAACAGTTTGCCGAGCGCATAGAGCTTTTGGAAGGAAATGTAAGCTGAATTTATCTTTGGATTTGAACTTGGACTTTGAAAGCTCTTCAAACATTATTTTATCCGTAGAAGATCTTTAAAAGCTCTTCTACCTAAAAAGGAGTTTTTGAAGATCCATAGAAGAGCTTTAAAGGCTCTTATATTTATAGGAGAGCTCTTAAAGGTATTATGTCCATACTAAAGCTTTTAAAGCTCTCCTATAAATAGAAGAGCTTTTAAGGCTCTTCTGTCCATAGAAGAGCTTTAAAAGGTATTCTAGGCATAGACGAACTTTAAAAGGTCTCCTAGGCATAGACGAGCTATAAAAGGTCTTCTATCCAAAGAAGAGCTTTGAAAGGTCTTCTATCCATAGAAGAGCTTTGAAAGGTCTTCTATCCACAGAAGAGCTTTAAAATCTCTTCTATCCATGGAAGAGCTCTAAAATTCCTTCTATCCATAGAAGAGCTTCAGAAGGTCTTCTAGCCATAGAAGAGCTTCAGAAGGTCTTCTAGCCATAGAAGAGCTTCAGAAGGTCTTCTAGCCATAGAAGAGCTTTAAAAGATCGTCTATCCATAGAAGAGCTTCAGAAGGTCTTCTATCCATAGAAGAGCTTTAAAAGGTCTTCTAGGCATAGAAGAGCTTCAGAAGGTTTTCGGTCCATAGAAGAGCTTTAAAATGTCTTCTAGGCATAGAAGAGCTTCAGAAGGTTTTCGGTCCATAGAAGAGCTTTAACATGTCTTCTATCCATGGAAGAGCTCTAAAAGGCCTTCTATCCATAGAAGAGCTTTAAAAGCTCTTCTATCTACAGACGAACAATTGACGATCTTCCACCTATAGGACATTTTTAATTATATTACTTCCTTCCAGTACGTCCCCGATGCCCTGTGGAATCAAATTCGCCAGCATCACATCCTCTTGTGTGAATTCATGGAAAAGGTGAATGAGCATCTCTCGGCCATCGTACTCCTATCATCAATCAACAATATGTATTTCATTTGTAATCAACTGCTGAATATATTTACGTAAGCATTTTCCCCCACCCCATTTCAAAATTTCAAACATCATCCAATAAATAACTCCCCCTCTCTCTTGCAGAAAACTACGCTATCCCATTAGTACTGTGTACTTTTGGATGTCTTTGGCATTTTTGCTTGGTCGAACTTGTGGTGTTTTTATGTTTGCCTCGCGAATACGAGATGCCTCTCTGTTGCCCTTGAAGACCCTGTATCTGGTGCCGAGTGGCTGTTGGACTGAGGAGGTACAACGGTTTTTGGCACAAATTTTAGATGAACCGCTGGGATTGACGGGCAAATACTTCTATACAGTTACGCGGCAGGGGTTCTTTGGGGTGAGTTTCGGAGGTTATATCATACAATTTCAATATATAATATTGGTTTATGGTATTTCAGATGATGTCCACCATTGTTACCTATGAGTTTATGCTCCTGCAGTTGGATGCCAAAAGTCGGGAGGGAGATCTGCCAGATTTGTGTACTTAAATCCTTTTATTTGAAATATTATTTTTGTAAATATATATATTTTTTTTTTATCAAATTTATAAAAATTTTTTCGTCTAAGAGAGACGAGTTATGACTCGTCTACAAGAGACGAAATAAGACTCGAAACGAGGCTTCAACTCGTCTAAAATAAGGACGACGATTCAACTCGTCTAAAATAAAGCCGAGGCTTCCAATCGCCTAAAATAATTACGAATCTTCAACTCGCCTAAGATAAATGCGAGTCTTCAACTCGTCTAAAATAAAGACGAGTCTTCAACTCATCTAAAATATAGACAAGTCTAAAAATGCGTATTAAAAAGAGACGAGTTTTTAACTCGTCTAAAATAGAAACAAGTTTTCAACTCATCTCGAGCAAAGACGAGTTTTCAACTCGTCTAACATACAGACAAGTCCTCAACTCGTGTAAAATGAGGTGAGGCTTCGAAAACCTAGTCTATAGCAAAGACAACCTCTATAGAGCTCGTCTATAGCAAAGACAACCTCTATAGAGCTCGTCTATAGCAAAGACAACCTCTATGGAGCTCGTCTATAGCAAAGACAACCTCTATAGAGCTCGTCTATAGCAAAGACAACCTCTATAGAGCTCGTCTATAGCAAAGACAACCTCTATAGAGCTCGTCTATAGCAAAGACAACCTCTATAGAGCTCGTCTATAGCAAAGACAACCTCTATAGAGCTCGTCTATAGCAAAGACAACCTCTATAGAGCTCATCTATAGCAAAGACGACCTCTATAGAGCTAATCTATAGCAAAGACGACCTCTATAGAGCTCGTCTATAGCAAAGACAACCTCTATAGAGCTCGTCTATAGCAAAGACAACCTCTATAGAGCTCGTCTATAGCAAAGACAACCTCTATAGAGCTCGTCTATAGCAAAGACGACCTCTAGAGACCCCCTCCAGAGCTGGTCTATAGAGACCCCCTCCAGAGCTGGTCTATAGAGACCCCCTCCAGAGCTGGTCTATAGAGACCACCTCCAGAGCTGGTCTATAGAGACCACCTCCAGAGCTGGTCTATAGAGACCACCTCCAGAGCTGGTCTATAGAGACCACCTCCAAAGCTGGTCTATGAAGAGACCACCTCCAGAGCTGGTCTATGAAGAGACCACCTCCAGAGCTGGTCTATGAAGAGACCACCTCCAGAGCTGGTCTATGAAGAGACCACCTTCAGAGCTGGTCTATGAAGAGACCACCTCCAGAGCTGGTCTATGAAGAGACCAACTCCAGAGGTGGTCTATGGAGAGACCACCTCCAGAGCTGGTCTATGAAGAGACTGGTCTATAAAGAGACCACCTCCAGAGCTGGTCTATGAAGAGACCACCTCCAGAGATGGTCTATGAAGAGACCAACTCCAGAGGTGGTCTATGAAGAGACCAACTCCAGAGCTGGTCTATGAAGAGACCACCTCCAGAGCTGGTCTATGAAGAGACCACCTCCAGAGCTGGTCTATGAAGAGACCACCTCCAGAGCTGGTCTATGAAGAGACCAACTCCAGAGGTGGTCTATGAAGAGACCAACTCCAGAGCTGGTCTATGAAGAGAATATCTCCAGAGCTGGTCTATGTAGAGACCACCTCCAGAGCTGGTCTATGAAGAGACCACCTCCAGAGCTGGTCTATGAAGAGACCATCTCCAGCTGTTCTATAGAGAGACCATTTCCAGCTGTTCTATAGAGAGATCATTTCCAGCTGGTCTAAAGAGAGACCATATCCAGCTCGCTCATATTTCCCTCTTTAATAAAAGTCCCTCGTTTCATAGTTTGTTTTTTTTAATCATTTTCTCTCGACAACTTTTTTCCTCTCCAACTTTCACTTTGAAGTTCAATGTCATTGTCCTTCAATGACAATGGGTTCCACATAAAATCCACATCCCACAGAATATTCGAATCAAAATAAAAACCCCAACCAAAACAAATGCGAATAAAAATGACGAAAGGGAATATAACAAAAATAACAACTTCCACCCTCCCACAAAAAAGCACGTGGCTTGTCGAAATTAAAAACAAACAATGGATGAAAAAAGATAACGGAAAATCCACCCCCAAAAAACGTGGCGCGGGTTTAGCCGGGTCAACAAACGGCCAGTGCATTGTTTACAACAAACAACATTTTCACTTTCTAGGTGTAGAAGAAGAAAACGAAATGATAGATCGGTTGCCAGGGCAACCCTAAGGGTAGTGGACTGTCAGCTTAAAATTTTTTCCTTACATTTTAGGTGAGAAAAAAAACGTCATTTGATTGAATCACAGCTCCAGGAAAAAGGACATTTTTAAGGAAAATGTTTAAGCCGAGGCTAAAATCATAAGTTTTATTGGTTAAAGTTTAAAAAATCTCCTTCCAATTCTTTGAGGAAATACTGGAATTTCCATTAAAATGGAACTCCCCGAAGTTGTGTCGGTAAAAAAGTTCAAAGAGTTATCCAGTCAACAAAAGGATGAAGTCTACGAAACCATTTTGAATTTGTCCAGAGTCGTTGAAGAGCTACCCAAGAAATCCTTACGCAAAACCTTAGATCTAACTCTGGCCATTCTGCAGTACAAGGGCCAGCAGGTCAGGGAACTTGAGGCGGAGTTGGATGAAAAGGATCGTGGGAGTTTGGGTGAGTCCTTGTTTTCGGAGATGAATTTAAGGCTGTAGGTAGATCGTAATTTTAAATCGCTTACCCTCTTTTCAGAGTCCCACAATGACCGCTTGGTAGATGAAAATGAAAAACTGAAACGCATGATTAGCGATTTGGAGGATGAGCGTTTGGAATATAAAAGGAAAATTAAAAAGGTATGATAAAATGAGAAGGATGGGCAAGATATCATCGGTGGGTATATTATATCACTTTTGACGTCTTCTAGGACCAATAGTAGAATTGTATGACAAATAATTTTGTATCCCCGATCCCATTTTATTTGAGTTTTGAACCATTTTTCGCAAAAAGGACCGAAAACGACCCCTTGGTGGCTTCGCTTGAGGTTTAAAATGGTTGACCAAAAAAAACTTAACTTTTGTTATTAGTAATACTGCCGAAGACACTATATTCCAAAAATCCATGGCTTCCAAGGCATCTTAGTGCGAAAAGTTGAAAGAGAGGGGAACTTTCCTCCCCCCCCCCCCTTTTGGGTTACATTGCGTAAACTCTTGTCTTGTCTTTAATTTTCTCTACTGTCCTAATCTACTGAGGTTTTGTTGTAATTTTTGGAAAATTTAAAATTTTTTCTCACAGTGTTATTATTAGTCTTCTATGGTCAGGAGACCCTATATGAGTCTTCTGAGACTAGAATGTGGCTCAGAGGTCTACAATATGTCGGAGTTATGATTATTGGTTATTTAAATTTTTTTGATATTTTCAGCTCACCGAGGAAATGTTTTCCATGCAAAAGAGACTCCAGGAAGCAGCTGCCAATGCTGAGGGTAGTGACAAAGATTCTTCCGATCCCTTATCCGAACTGGATAAACAGGAGACTCTGCTGCGCAACATTAATACGAAAAACAAACACATCAAAAGGTTACTACGAGAAATAGAGGTAAGGGATCCAAAAATACTTCCAAAAAATGTTTTCTTAATTTTTATACCCTCCACCATAGTATGTCATTCCGTTTGTAACACCTCGAAATCACCATAAAATTCTATGTCGATTTAGTGATGTCCGTCCGTCTGTCCGTTGGCGCGTCTGTGGAAATCACTCTAGCTTCCGAACGATATGAAGTGGGTTGATAAAATTTTTCTCAAATGTATATTATGTCTGCAGGACTTTTGGTATTGAAAATGGGCCATGTGGGTCCACGTCTTCGTATAGCCCCCATATAACGGTACCTCCTGGTATTCGGTATTTCGATAATTTTAGCGATATTATTCACCGGAATTGTTTCAAATTTGGTATTTGAAGTTCGTAATGGATACTACAGCCTATGACAGAGAGTTGTCCCTGTAGGTCCACGTCTTCGTATAGCCCCCATATAATGGTACCTCCCGGTATTCGATATTTTGATGATTTTAGCGACATTATTCACCGGAATTGTTTTAAATTTGGGTTTTGGAGTTCCTAATGGATACTCCAGCCTATGACAGAAAATTGTCTGTGTAGGTCTACGCCTTCGTATAGTCTCCATATAATGGTACCTCCCGATATTCGGTATTATGGTGATTTTAGCGACATTATTCACCGGAATTGTTTTAAATTTGGTATTTGAAGTTCGCAATGGATACTACAGCCTATGACAGAAAATTGTCTGTGCAAGTCCACGCTTTCGTATAGCCCCCATATAATGGTACCTCCCAGTATTCGGTATTTTGATGATTTAAGCGACATTATTCACCGGAATTGTTTCAAATTTGAAGTTCGTAATGGATACTCCAGCCTATGACAGAAAATTGTCCTTGCAGGTCCACATTTTGGTATAGGCCCCATATAACGGCACCTCCCGATATTCGGTATTTTGATGATTTTGGCGACATTAACTTATTTCAAAAGTTGCCTTTGCAGGTCCACGTCTTCGTAAAGACCCTAATATAACGGGTAAATTCGATATTTTTAAGATTTGAACAGAATTTTTATTTATTTTTTTTAATTATTTAATATTTTTTATAATTTATATATTTATTTATTTTATTTATTTATTTTTTTTTTTATTTATTTTTTTTTTTTTTTTGAAAATAGTTTCAAATGGTGGAGGTTATTCAAAGTTCGGCCCAGCCGAACCTAAAGTTTTTCCCAATATTTTTCTTCAAAATTTCTATAAATTTTTAATTTTGTTTTTTTTTTTAATCCGAAGTCCCTTCAAAATCAAAATATCGAACAATCCAAAACGATATTGACGCTGGAGAAAGATTTCCAACACAGCAAGGAGTCGATAATGAAACTCAAGGCGGACATAACTTTGCTGCAAAGTGAGAACTCCGCACACAAGGAGAATATTGAGGAATTGAATATTGAAATAAAAAAGCTCGAGGGGCAGGTCACCTATTTGGAAGATGAAAGGGATAAAAGTGAGGCAGAAGTTAAGGAATTTATTGACAAATTGGAAAAGAAGGCCATGGCTTGGAAGAAGATAATCGATGAAAAGGATAAACAGCTACGGAAGCTGAAAGAGCGCAGTGAGCGTTCCGAAGACCTGGAGAGTGCCAAGAGCAGCAGTGAGGATCATAAGGAGAGCGTGAACTCAAATGAGCAGGAAGAGAAAAGCAGATTGCTGCATGTGAGCGGGAAAATAAAAACTCTCTCTATCTCTTTTAAAATTTAATTTCCCTCTTTTTGTTGCTCTCTCTTGTCGTTCTCTTTCTCTCTTTCAGTCTTTGGAATGCCGCGACAAACTCATTGAACAGCTGGAATTGAAAATTAAAACAATGGCCGAAGAAATGATTGCCTCTACAAAACTGATGAATAAAATCACTGCCGAGCGGGAGCACGAACGCAACCCGAACAATCCTCGATCGTGTTGTCGAACCATTGAAATGGCTTTGAAAACCAGTAACGATAAGGTACGAGAACTTACCGAAATGTTGGAGCGAGCTGAAGAAGAATGTTGCCTAAAGGCCAAGCAAGCCTTGGAGGCATGTAATGCTTTGAGAGCCTATCAAAAGGGTGAGGATGGTTTGCTGAATGCTTTGAGAAAATGTTCGTCTTTGGAAAATAAATTACAGTCCAGAGATAAACAAATTCGGGCTTTGGTCATGGAGCTGAACTCCCTACATGAAATTGCCCAAGAGAATTCGCTGCTGAGAAAACGTCTAAACATACCGGAGGATGTGGTTATTACCACGAAAAATCTCACCGCAAAAGAGAGAAACAAGGAGAAAATGATTGAAAAGCTCACGCTGAAATTGAGAGCTTCGGAGGAGATGCGATTGCAGCTGAAAATGGAGAAATGTGATTTGAGGTGAGGAGCTGAGAATTTTTTTGAAGAATATTTTTTTCAGGTACCAAAAGGACAAAGAATATGTTTAAAGGACCAAAATATTAATAAACGTAAATTTTTTAAAGAATATTTTTCAAAGACCTCCAGACCAATAAACGTGGATTTTTTAAAGAATATTTTTCAAAGACCTCCAGACCAATAAACGTGGATTTTTTAAAGAATATTTTTCAAAGACCTCCAGACCAATAAACGTGGATTTTTTAAAGAATATTTTTCAAAGACCTCCAGACCAATAAACGTGGATTTTTTAAAGAATATTTTTCAAAGACCTCCAGACCAATAAACGTAAATTTTTTAAAGAATATTTTTCAAAGACCTCCAGACCAATAAACGTGGATTTTTTAAAGAATATTTTTCAAAGACCTCCAGACCAATAAACGTGGATTTTTTAAAGAACATTTTCAAAGACCTCCAGACCAATAAACGTGGATTTTTTAAAGAATATTTTTCAAAGACCTCCAGACCAATAAACGTGGATTTTTTAAAGAATATTTTTCAAAGACCTCCAGACCAATAAACGTGGATTTTTTAAAGAACATTTTTCAAAGACCTCCAGACCAATAAACGTGGATTTTTTAAAGAATATTTTTCAAAGACCTCCAGACCAATAAACGTGGATTTTTTAAAGAATATTTTTCAAAGACCTCCAGACCAATAAACGTGGATTTTTTAAAGAATATTTTTCAAAGACCTCCAGACCAATAAACGTGGATTTTTTAAAGAATATTTTCAAAGACCTCCAGACCAATAAACGTGGATTTTTTAAAGAATATTTTTCAAAGACCTCCAGACCAATAAACGTGGATTTTTTAAAGAATATTTTTCAAAGACCTCCAGACCAATAAACGTGGATTTTTTAAAGAATATTTTTCAAAGACCTCCAGACCAATAAACGTGGATTTTTAAAGAATATTTTTCAAAGACCTCCAGACCAATAAACGTGGATTTTTTAAAGAATATTTTTCAAAGACCTCCAGACCAATAAACGTGGATTTTTTAAAGAATATTTTTCAAAGACCTCCAGACCAATAAACGTGGATTTTTTAAAGAATATTTTTCAAAGACCTCCAGACCAATAAACGTGGATTTTTTAAAGAATATTTTTCAAAGACCTCCAGACCAATAAACGTGGATTTTTTAAAGAATATTTTTCAAAGACCTCCAGACCAATAAACGTGGATTTTTTAAAGAATATTTTTCAAAGACCTCCAGACCAATAAACGTGGATTTTTTAAAGAATATTTTCAAAGACCTCCAGACCAATAAACGTGGATTTTTTAAAGAATATTTTTCAAAGACCTCCAGACCAATAAACGTGGATTTTTTAAAGAATATTTTTCAAAGACCTCCAGACCAATAAACGTGGATTTTTTAAAGAATATTTTTCAAAGACCTCCAGACCAATAAACGTGGATTTTTTAAAGAATATTTTTCAAAGACCTCCAGACCAATAAACGTGGATTTTTTAAGAATATTTTTCAAAGACCTCCAGACCAATAAACGTGGATTTTTTAAAGAATATTTTTCAAAGACCTCCAGACCAATAAACGTGGATTTTTTAAAGAATATTTTTCAAAGACCTCCAGACCAATAAACGTGGATTTTTTAAAGAATATTTTTCAAAGACCTCCAGACCAATAAACGTGGATTTTTTTAAAGAATATTTTTCAAAGACCTCCAGACCAATAAACGTGGATTTTTTAAAGAATATTTTTCAAAGACCTCCAGACCAATAAACGTGGATTTTTTAAAGAATATTTTCAAAGACCTCCAGACCAATAAACGTGGATTTTTAAAGAATATTTTTCAAAGACCTCCAGACCAATAAACGTGGATTTTTTAAAGAATATTTTTCAAAGACCTCCAGACCAATAAACGTGGATTTTTTAAAGAATATTTTTCAAAGACCTCCAGACCAATAACGTGGATTTTTTAAAGAATATTTTTCAAAGACCTCCAGACCAATAAACGTGGATTTTTTAAAGAATATTTTTCAAAGACCTCCAGACCAATAAACGTGGATTTTTTAAAGAATATTTTTCAAAGACCTCCAGACCAATAACGTGGATTTTTTAAAGAATATTTTTCAAAGACCTCCAGACCAATAAACGTGGATTTTTTAAAGAATATTTTTCAAAGACCTCCAGACCAATAAACGTGGATTTTTTAAAGAATATTTTTCAAAGACCTCCAGACCAATAACGTGGATTTTTTAAAGAATATTTTTCAAAGACCTCCAGACCAATAAACGTGGATTTTTTAAAGAATATTTTTCAAAGACCTCCAGACCAATAAACGTGGATTTTTTAAAGAATATTTTTCAAAGACCTCCAGACCAATAAACGTGGATTTTTTAAAGAATATTTTTCAAAGACCTCCAGACCAATAAACGTGGATTTTTTAAAGAATATTTTTCAAAGACCTCCAGACCAATAAACGTGGATTTTTAAAGAATATTTTTCAAAGACCTCCAGACCAATAAACGTGGATTTTTTAAAGAATATTTTTCAAAGACCTCCAGACCAATAAACGTGGATTTTTTAAAGAATATTTTTCAAAGACCTCCAGACCAATAAACGTGGATTTTTTTAAAGAATATTTTTCAAAGACCTCCAGACCAATAAACGTGGATTTTTTAAAGAATATTTTTCAAAGACCTCCAGACCAATAAACGTGGATTTTTTAAAGAATATTTTTCAAAGACCTCCAGACCAATAAACGTGGATTTTTTAAAGAATATTTTTCAAAGACCTCCAGACCAATAAACGTGGATTTTTTAAAGAATATTTTTCAAAGACCTCCAGACCAATAAACGTGGATTTTTTAAAGAATATTTTTTCAAAGACCTCCAGACCAATAAACGTGGATTTTTTAAAGAATATTTTTCAAAGACCTCCAGACCAATAAACGTGGATTTTTTAAAGAATATTTTTCAAAGACCTCCAGACCAATAAACGTGGATTTTTTAAAGAATATTTTTCAAAGACCTCCAGACCAATAAACGTGGATTTTTTAAAGAATATTTTTCAAAGACCTCCAGACCAATAAACGTGGATTTTTTAAAGAATATTTTTCAAAGACCTCCAGACCAATAAACGTGGATTTTTTAAAGAATATTTTTCAAAGACCTCCAGACCAATAAACGTGGATTTTTTAAAGAATATTTTTCAAAGACCTCCAGACCAATAAACGTGGATTTTTTAAAGAATATTTTTCAAAGACCTCCAGACCAATAAACGTGGATTTTTTAAAGAATATTTTTCAAAGACCTCCAGACCAATAAACGTGGATTTTTTAAAGAATATTTTTCAAAGACCTCCAGACCAATAAACGTGGATTTTTTAAAGAATATTTTTCAAAGACCTCCAGACCAATAAACGTGGATTTTTTAAAGAATATTTTCAAAGACCTCCAGACCAATAAACGTGGATTTTTTAAAGAATATTTTTCAAAGACCTCCAGACCAATAAACGTGGATTTTTTAAAGAATATTTTTCAAAGACCTCCAGACCAATAAACGTGGATTTTTTAAAGAATATTTTTCAAAGACCTCCAGACCAATAAACGTGGATTTTTTAAAGAATATTTTTCAAAGACCTCCAGACCAATAAACGTGGATTTTTTAAAGAATATTTTTCAAAGACCTCCAGACCAATAAACGTGGATTTTTTAAAGAATATTTTTCAAAGACCTCCAGACCAATAAACGTGGATTTTTAAAGAATATTTTTCAAAGACCTCCAGACCAATAAACGTGGATTTTTTAAAGAATATTTTTCAAAGACCTCCAGACCAATAAACGTGGATTTTTTAAAGAATATTTTTCAAAGACCTCCAGACCAATAAACGTGGATTTTTTAAAGAATATTTTTACAAGGACCCAAGGACCAATAAACGTGGATTTTTAAAGAATATTTTTCAAGGACCAAAGGACCAATAAACCTGGATTTTTTAAAGAATATTTTTTCAAGGACCAAAAGAAAAATAAACCTGGATTTTTTAAAGAATATTTTTACAAGGACCAATAAACATGGATTTTTAAAGGAACATTTTTACAAGGACCCAAGGACCAATAAACGTGGATTTTTTTAAAGAATATTTTTACAAGGACCCAAGGACCAATAAACGTGGATTTTTTAAAGAATATTTTTACAAGGACCCAAGGACCAATAAACGTGGATTTTTTTAAAGAATATTTTTACAAGGACCCAAGGACAATAAACGTGGATTTTTTTAAAGAATATTTTTACAAGGACCCAAGGACCAATAAACGTGGATTTTTTAAAGAATATTTTTACAAGGACCCAAGGACCAATAAACGTGGATTTTTTTAAAGAATATTTTTACAAGGACCCAAGGACCAATAAACGTGGATTTTTTTAAAGAATATTTTTACAAGGACCCAAGGACCAATAAACTTGGGTTTAAAAAGAATATTCCACTAACCCTTATTTTTTCTTTTTATTTCAGAAAAGAACTACTCGAACTTCAACGCCAGCTGAATATCAGCCCCGAAGCTCGCACCCTTTCCGAAAATCCCACCCTGACTACCACGGAGCCTAAGATTCTTGAGAAGCCAGAAGAAGTCTCAAATATTGGCCTACCCAAATTCCCCAAAGTTACACCAAAGCGAAAAAATAGTTCCACCTCTCGAGAAATCGGAGAGGTGGAAGATTCCTCGAATTCCGCCGAGGCATCCCTTATGGTCACGGTGTGCTCTCAATGTAATGGAAATATGAGAATTGAGTTACAAGATCAAAATACTAGGGAAACGGACGTCAAATATCAGGAGGCTTTGGAGGAAAATGAGATACTGAGGCAGGGAATGCTGGAGATTCTGGAGAAATTAAGGGAATATGATGGTGAGTTGGAAAATTGGTTGGGGAGGGGAAAAATTTGATTAATTGAGATTTTCATTTCAGATTGTTCGGATAACATAACCATTAGCGAGGTGCTGCTGGAGCGTTTGATCAGGGCCTTGAGAATTGAAAATTCTCCCCTTAATTCCCCCAAACATTTGCGGGATGAGGTGAGATTACTGAGGGAGAGGGAAAAGGCCCTGGAGGAGAGACTAATACAGCATATTCAACAACAGAACCAGGTGGAGGAAGGAGGTAAAGAAGAGATCTCGCCGGATGAAAATCCTATTCCCGAAGATCTCAATTCCATGGAAAGTTTACGGGAGGAGGGCGAAATAAAACCTCTGCAGGAATCTTCATCCATAAATTTGCCTCAATACTTGGATAGCTCCACCAGACCCACAACACCCAATAAAAGTATAAATATACCCAATATACAAACACCCAGAGAACCCCTTTGCACCGAGGCCCAAAGGGACCGCGAATTGCAGTTGGAGGAAATGAAAATCTATAAAAAATATTACGAAGAGCTCCAACTCCACATGAATGCCAGCGATGTGGAGCTGATGCAATCGTGTGGTCAACTTACCGAGAAAATCGTCCACTTGGAAAAGGATTTGAGCAGGGAAACAAAAAGTTTCGCCTATATGCGTCAAGATTTCGATACAACTCTGGAAAATTTGAAAAATCTTGAACTCCAGGTCATTGAAAAAGAAGCCAACTACAAATTGGAAATATCCTCCTCGAAAGCCGCCATTGAAAAATTGGAACAAGATTTGGTGTATTACAAAGCGAATTACATTTACACCCACGACGATTACAATGAATTACAAAAATCTCTACAACAAAGTCAGCTGCTCTTGGCCCAACTGACCAAAGAGGTTTTGTCGGGCCGATATGGCAACGATTTGAAAATACCCGATATGTGTATGGATTATGGTATCATACAGGACGATCTGCAATTATCCTTTGTCACACAACAAGAATTTGAAGACCAACAACAAAAGCTAAAGGAATTTGAGGCCCAGCGTTTGGAATGGCAGAGGAAAAATTCCCAATTGGAATCTCTGCTGGAAATTGCCCAGGATCAAATTGGCTCCCAGCAAAAGCTGCTCAATGACATTACCGACAATCACATTAGCCTGAGGCATCTGGTGGCCGATTTACAAAGCTCTACGGAGGATAAGCTACTGATGGCCAAGATTCAAAGGGATCTGGAGGCAGGTGAGACAAGACTCCCAAAAGAAAAATCTTTCAAAAAATGAAATTTACTCTGTTTTTGTTTCAGCCAAAACCGAAATCAGCAACTTGAAATATGAGCGTGATGCCCTGAAACTTCAAGCCGACTCCCTGCAGCAGGATCTCATTAGTCGTGACAATTTCAACAGGGAACTAGAGAAGAACTTCCAAACCGAACGCCAAAATAGCAACATTAAAATCAAGTCAGTATCTCCCCTCCCCCCTCATCTACTTCTCATATATCGAAATATTTATTATCCTTTCCACCGTTTCAGATTCCTGCAAAAATCCCTGAATTGTCTTCGTGAAAAATATGCCAAATTTACACCGCTTGTCTTCCTCACCAATTTTGTGTTTGCTTATCATAAATTTCTGCAACGAAATTCCCCCCGAAATTCTCCCCACAAAGCAAAGGATAACAAGGAAGACATTCAAAAAACCATTGAAGTGGTAATGGGGGAACTTTTTAGGGAGAAAATCGAACAAATGGAGGGAAATCAGCAGTTGATTAAGGTAAGAAGGCCTTAAACCTCGAAAATTGAAAAATATTCCTTTAAAAATCCACGTTTCTTGGTCTTTTGGTCCTTGAAAAAATATTCCTTTAAAAATCCACGTTTCTTGGTCTTTTGGTCCTTGAAAAAATATTCCTTTAAAAATCCACGTTTCTTGGTCTTTTGGTCCTTGAAAAAATATTCCTTTAAAAATCCACGTTTCTTGGTCTTTTGGTCCTTGAAAAAATATTCCTTTAAAAATCCACATTTATGGGTCTTTTGGTCCTTGAAAAAATATTCCTTTAAAAATCCACGCTTCTTGGTCTTTTGGTCCTTGAAAAAATATTCCTTTAAAAATCCACGTTTATTGGTCTTTTGGTCCTTGAAAAAATATTCCTTTAAAAATCCACGTTTCTTGGTCTTTTGGTCCTTGAAAAAATATTCCTTTAAAAATCCACGTTTATTGGTCTTTTGGTCCTTGAAAAAATATTCCTTTAAAAATCCACGTTTCTTGGTCTTTTGGTCCTTGAAAAAATATTCCTTTAAAAATCCACGTTTCTTGGTCTTTTGGTCCTTGAAAAAATATTCCTTTAAAAATCCACGTTTCTTGGTCTTTTGGTCCTTGAAAAATATTCCTTTAAAAATCCACGTTTCTTGGTCTTTTGGTCCTTGAAAAAATATTCCTTTAAAAATCCACGTTTCTTGGTCTTTTGGTCCTTGAAAAAATATTCCTTTAAAAATCCACGTTTCTTGGTCTTTTGGTCCTTGAAAAAATATTCCTTTAAAAATCCACGTTTCTTGGTCTTTTGGTCCTTGAAAAAATATTCCTTTAAAAATCCACGTTTCTTGGTCTTTTGGTCCTTGAAAAAATATTCCTTTAAAAATCCACGTTTCTTGGTCTTTTGGTCCTTGAAAAAATATTCCTTTAAAAATCCACGTTTCTTGGTCTTTTGGTCCTTGAAAAATATTCCTTTAAAAATCCACGTTTCTTGGTCTTTTGGTCCTTGAAAAAATATTCCTTTAAAAATCCACGTTTCTTGGTCTTTTGGTCCTTGAAAAAATATTCCTTTAAAAATCCACGTTTCTTGGTCTTTTGGTCCTTGAAAAAATATTCCTTTAAAAATCCACGTTTCTTGGTCTTTTGGTCCTTGAAAAAATATTCCTTTAAAAATCCACGTTTCTTGGTCTTTTGGTCCTTGAAAAAATATTCCTTTAAAAATCCACGTTTCTTGGTCTTTTGGTCCTTGAAAAAATATTCCTTTAAAAATCCACGTTTATTGGTCTTTTGGTCCTTGAAAAAATATTCCTTTAAAAATCCACGTTTCTTGGTCTTTTGGTCCTTTAAAAATCCACGTTTCTTGGTCTTTTGGTCCTTGAAAAAATATTCCTTTAAAAATCCACGTTTCTTGGTCTTTTGGTCCTTGAAAAAATATTCCTTTAAAAATCCACGTTTCTTTGTCTTTTGGTCCTTGAAAAAATATTCCTTGAAAAATCCACGTTTCTTAGTCTTTTGGTTCTTGAAAAAATATTCCTTTAAAAATCCACGTTTCTTGGTCTTTTGGTCCTTGAAAAATATTCTTTCAAAAATCCACGTTTATGGGTCTTTTGGTCCTTGAAAAAATATTCCTTTAAAAATCCACGTTTCTTGGTCTTTTGGCCCTTGAAAAATATTCTTTTAAAAATCCACGTTTATTTGCTCGGCTTTCCTTTAAAAATATAGGTTTATTGGTCTATTATTCCTTGAAAAATATTCCTTTAAAAAATCCTCATTTATTGGTCTAAGTCCTTTAATAAATATTTTCCTTATCCTTTTTCCTTCATTTCAAGCTTGTCAAAAGTGAAACCCAATGCCGACTCTATGAGGATCAAATAAAACAACTGGAAAAGAAATGTGTGGATTTGGAAAGGGATCTCAACGAAATGAAGATCAAAATGGCCACGGAGTCGGAACACTGGCATACAATACAGGCATTGTTTGGCAAGGATACTGCGAATGAGGAGGAAAAGGAAACTGAAAAAGCCAATGGAAATCCGGTGGAAGAAAAAGTCTCAACCATGGAAATTGGTTGTAATACAGAACCTGCGATAACCTCTCCACCAGTGCCCGCTGAACGAAAACTTTCGGCCAACAATAAGTCACGAAAGACCTCTATTGAAATGGTCGATAAAAATCTATCACCCATACAAACACCCACCAAGAAAGGTAGGAGCGAAATGGGAACACAAACTGAAAACACGGAAAAGAATGTTGAGCCGAAACTTTCAGAGAGTCCTGTTAAAGAGGTGGAGGAGAAATCAAAGAGTCCTGAAAAGGAAGCCAATGCAGATGCTCATGCCAAGGAGGTAATAACTACTTGTGAAGTGGAAATTCAAACTTGTACGATGCCCACAGTCTCGAAAATTGTGCAAACCCTGGAAATAGAAGAAGAACAGAAGGAAATTAAGGAGACTTCCAATGGAACACAGCTAGAGGATGCCTTGAAGAAGTTAAAGAATACAGAAGAAAGGTAAATATATTCAATATTTTATCAAAAAAATATTGAAATTAAATAAGATTAAATCCTTTTACAGCCTCTCGAATGCCCAAAAACAAGTAACGGATTTGGAACAGCAATTGAAGTCCCTAAAGGAGTCTCAGGAATCACAAACATCAACAGCCACTGCTGAACAAGGCATGCCTAGCTTGCAATCGGATGTCATTGAGGTAAATCATTTTCAAATATCAATATTTCCAAACCTGTCATAATATTCCCTCAAATTATTTTATTTCATTTTATTTTAGAAAACCATATTATCCTTCCACACTCTATTGAGTGAAAAGGACAAATCAATTGGAAAATATCAAGACATCCTACAAACTGAACGGGAGCAGGCCCACCTCAACCTTAGCAAACTAAATTCTGAAATCGATGGCCTCAAGAACACCATAACCAATTTAAATTTCAACATCAAAACCAAAGATATTGAAATTTTGGAATTAAAAACCCAATTGGAAAGTCAAACGGTTCGCCGTAATTCCAATGAGAAACTGGATTTGGCAAGGAATGCCGCCGGACCCGAAGAAAATGCCGATAATAGTTTGCATGAAATGACAGATGAAAAGATTGAAGAGTTATTCGAAGAAAACCTAAGTCCAGCTGGCCAGACATCACCGATCAAATTGCCTTCTCTACAACAGTCTTCGGTACAGGAGAAACATGAGCTGGAGGGCGTCAAGGATATTCCTGAAAATTATTCCAAACAGTTAAGAGAGCTAAAAGAAAAGGCCAGCTATTGGGAGAGCACCCTTAAGGTGAAGGAGGAGGAGATTGCAATATTGCGAGAAAAGTGAGTAATGCGGAAAAACGTCCTAAAAACGTCCTATTAAAAACAAATCTCTATTGTCAATACAGGAAAATGTATTGAAAAGTAGTAGGTTTCTATTTAGGACTTTCGAATGAAAATAATCTCGACTACAAAGCCTCTGTTCTATTATCATTAAAAATACTATTGTGAATGTTCCGTCTACACGGACGAACTGTCCGATTGACTACTCCAAGAAAGAACAGTTGGAACAACAATTTGAAAATAAGCTAAATAGTTGTTACACCATTCTGTCTAAGGCTGTAGTATTCATTACGAACTTCATATACCAAATTTGAAACGATTCCGGTGAATATTGTCAATAAAATCATCAAAATACCGAATATCGGGAGGTACCGTTATATGGGGACTATACGAAGACGTGAACCTGCACAGACAATTTTCTGTCATAGGCTGTAGTATCCATTAAGAACTACAAATACGAAATTTGAAACTATTCCGGAGAATGATGTCGCTAAAATCTTCAAACTACCGAATATAGGGAGATACCGTTATATGGAGGCTATACGAAAACGTGGACCGACATGGCTCATGAATTCGTTCGAAAGATACCGTGATTACACCAGACGGACAGACAGGCGGAAATCTATAGATCGTCTTAGAATTTTACGCTGATCCAGAATATATATTCATTGTAGGGTCTATTATGAATATTTCGAAGAGTTACAAACGGAATGACAAAGCTAATATACCCTCCATAGAATGGTGGAGTGTATAAAAACCCGCAAACTATTGTCAATAAGGTCCCTTTCAGAAGTTTTTTGACTAGGTCTTCCATAGAAGGATCTCGATTTAGTTACCCAAGAGAGACCTATTGAGGTCTTCATTAGAAGAAAAGTAGGGGTACCGGGGTCTTCTATTAAAAGACCGCCACTGTTGTGGATTTCCTCCTAGAAATACGAAAGTTCTATTTCAAAAAGCAAAAGCGAATCTAACTTGGCCATCAATAGGAAGATAATTTCGATAGAGGTTTCCAAGAACCCCCCTTAGAGAAATCTGCAATTGAAAAAGGAGCTTTAATGAGGTCTTCTAACAAAAAGGAATTTAACTAGGTCACCAAACTCCAATAACTCCCTTTAGAGAAATCTGCAATGGAAAGATGAGCTGTGATGAGGTCTTATATTAAAAAGTAATCTAACTAGGTCATCAATCTCCGAGAATCCCATTTAGAGAAATCTGCAATGGAAAGAGGAGGTCTTCTATCAAAAAGGAGGGGGGCTGTATTGAGGTCTCCTATCAAAAAGTTGACCTCTGTGGTTTTATGTGGAACGAAAAAAACTGTCTCTATAAAGGTCTAACAATAAGATCATCAAAATGAAGAAAATCTCGGTAAAGGTCTACCCCCTTTAGAGAAATCTGCTATGAAATGGGGAGCTGTATTGTGGTCTCCTATCAAAAAGTGGACCTCTGTGGTTTTATGTGGAACGAAAATAAAGTTCTCTATAAAGGTCTAACAATAAGATCATCAATAGGAAGAAAATCTCGGTAGAGTTCCCCAAGAATCCCTTTTAGAGAAATCTGCTATGAAATGGGGAGCTGTTTTGGAGTCTCCTATCAAAAAGTGAACCTCTGTGGTTTTATGTGGAACGAAAAAAAGTTCTCTAAAAAAGGTCTAACAATAAGATGTTCCATAGGAAAAACATCTCTATTGACGTCTGGGGTAAGATAAACGCCTCCAATAAAGTCATCTATGTTGAACATGGTATTCTGTAGAAATAAATCCCCTGCAGAGGGTCTCTAAGACCTCTATTCAGGACTTCTTTTCTGTAAAATTGACGCTTTGTGGCTCCCATAAATCTTGAAAGTTTTTTTTCCCAAAAATTCCACGTTTTGTAGTTCTATAGGTCTTGAAAATTGTTTTTCAACATCCATGTTTTGTGGATTAGTGGTCCTTGAAGGTCTTCCTCCCTTGAGGTCTTCCATAAAAGACCTCCCTTGAGATCTTCCATAAAATACCTCCCTTGAGATCTTCCATAAAAGACATCCCTTGAGGTTTTCTATGAAAGGCCACCCTTCTTCAAACCCCTAGTTTTGTGGCTTGGATTGCCCTTGAAAATAAATCCATGTTCTGTGGTCTAGTAGTCCTTGATAAATATTCTTAAAAAAATCCAGGTTTTGTGGCTCCAGTGCTCCTTGAAAAAAAAATTTTTTAGGAATCCACGTTTTGTATCTCCAGCGTTTTTTTAACTCCAAGGGTCCTTAAACGACATCCTTTAAATACTCCACGCTTATTGGTCCATGGGCCATCTAGGAAATGCTCTTCAAAACACCACACGTTGATTGGTCTGCAGGTCTCTAAAAAAATACTGTTTAAAATCGATGTTGATTGGAGGGCAAGTTCTCAAAACTTACTTTTTAAAATTCTACGTTGATTGATTTAGAGGCAACGTTGAGTGGCCCCTAAGTCTTCTTTTTATGAAGCCACGTTGATTAACTTCTAAGTCTTCGAAAAATACTTTTTAAAAAGCAGTGTTGATTAGTCCATAGGTCCTCAAACAAATACTCATTTCAAATCCACGTTGATTGGTCTTCAGGCACTTGATAAAATGTTTTTTCTTGGAAGAACCGGAGGTCTTCTCATAGAGTAGCCGAAGATATTCTAATAGAAGAGCCGAAGGTCTTCTCATAGAAGAGCCAAAGGACTTCTCATAGAAGAGGTCTTCTGTTTAAAGATCCTCCCATAGAAAGATGATCTCTGTTGAGTTTCCTTAGAGAGCCTTTATTGAGATCTTCGTCGGAAAGATGGCCCTTGAAAATAAATCCACGTTCTTTGGTTTTGAGGCCCTTGATTTATCAATTCTTAAAAAAAATCCAGGTTTCGTGGGTCCAATGATCCTTCAAAAATATTTTTTAGATATTAACGTTTTTTTTTAGATTCCAGCGTTTTTTAATTCTAAAAGCCCTTAAACATAAACGATAACCTTTAAATACTCCACGCTGATTAGTCTATGGGCGATCGAGAAAATACTCTTCAAAACTCCATGAAAAAATTCCTTTTGAAGTCCCTGTTGATTGGAAGAGGGTAGGTTCTCGAAAATTTACATTTTAAATTTCTACGTTGATTGATGCAGTGGCAAAGTTGAGTGGCCCCTAAGTCTTCGAAAAAATCTTTTTATGAAGGCTCGTTGATTGACCTCTAAGTCTTCGAAAAAATACTTCTTAAAAATCAGTGTTGATTAGTCTATAGGTCCTCAAACAAATACTCGTTCCAAATCCACATTGATTGGGGTTCCCGCGCTTGATAAATTTTTTTTTAAACACCAGGTTCAAGATATTCTCATAGAAGAGCTGAAGATCTTTCTCTAAGAAGAGCCGAAGGTCTTCTCATAGAGGAGCCCAAGGTCTTCCTATAGAAGGGGTCTTCTGTTTAAAGATCCTGCATAGATCCTTAAAAATCCTTCTTTGAAATCCGCTTTGATTTGTCCATAGGTGCAGAAACACTCGTTAAAGCTCCATTGGTCTATAGGACCCTGAAAGAACACAGTTAAAAAATCCGCTATGATTGGTGTCAAAGTCCTCGAAAACTTACTTTTAAAAACTCCGCGTTGCTTGGTCCATAGCTCCTTAATCAAATGGAAGAACTACTGTTTAAAAATCTATGTTGACTGGTCCATTGGTTCTCGAAATCTGACATATTAAAACTCCACGTTGATAGATCTATAGGGCCGCAAAACAAATACTCCTTAAAACTCTTCTTTGATTGGTTGATAGGTCCTCGAAAAACACATTTAAAAAATCCACGTTGATTGGGTTCTCGAAGATATACCCTTTAAAATCCGCGTTTTGTGGCTCAAATGGTCTTCGTAAAAAAATATTTTTAAAAAATCCATGCCTTGGGATACTAATGGGCCAATTTGTGGCTCTATTAGCTTCTGAAAAAAATATAATTCAAATCTCAACTCATTTTAAAGTCCTCCATGGAAAATCTCCATTTAGCTTGTCCATGAAACCAAAAACTTACATTTCCAACGAACTCATGTTAATGTTTTGTTTTTTTTTTTTTTTCCAGAATCCGACTCTTAGATGAACGCGACAAAGCCACATCCAATAGCAATCCGGAAATAGATCAACTAAGATCCCTTCTCGAAGAAAAAGATCGCCACATCAATGAGCTAATGGACACCTTGAATAACTTCCATGTAAGATCTCCATTTTTAATTTTCTTTTCAACTTAAATCCACATTTAAATCTCTTTACAGGACGATCAGCAGCGTTACATCAATGAATCGTCCAACTATTCCGCCGATCAAATTGCCAAGCTGGCCAGTGATTTGACACGCACCGAGGCCACCAATAAAATCTATCAAACCCAGGTGGAGGCTATGCGCAAACAATTGGCCAATTTGGCTCAACGTGAAAAACAGGCACGCGAATTAAATCAATCGCTACGCCAGCAGCTAATCAAACGTCCCGTGGTTTCGATTAAAACCGAGCTGAATGCTCGTGTAAAAAATGAAAATCTACAAAAGCGTCTGCAGCAATTGGAAATTGATCTGGAGGAGGCAAGGGCCGAGATCCAAAGGCAAAGGGTCATCATTGAGAGTAAGAGAGCCCGCAGTGCCAATGAGGTAGGACTGTGGGAGAAACAGAAACGTTGGCAACAGAGTGCTGAGAAATTCAAGGCTAAGCTGGAGGAGACGGAAGTGATGTTGGAAAAGACAAGGAGTCTCCTACAATCCGCCCGCACCACCATCAATCGTCTGGAGAAGGACAAACAAATATTGGAGGCGAAACTGGGTCGTTTTGCCCAGCAAAATGTTCAAAATTCTATGAAATGTTGTCGCACACCCTCCTGTCCCAATTTGCATCATCATGGTTCGCCGGGGCATACGAATGGTGGAGGGGGTGGGGCAAAATATACTCCCTCCGAAAGTCCTGAAACCTATACGGGAGCCAGTAGCGAATGCAGTTCTCCCGGTCGTTGTTCGTCCATACAACAACCGACCTGTGGAAAATCTCATTTCGCCGCCTCGGCCGCTGTCCAAGATGCCCATGATGAAATTATACAGGCCTTAAAGACACGCATTGAAATGCAGCAGCGCAAAATCTTGGCCTTAGAGTTGGAGGGTAAAGGTAGCAATGCCTTGACGACGGAAATGGAAAAAGTGCAAGAGAAGCTATCGGCAATTGAGGCACAAAATATACGCCTGGAGGCGAAAAATTTGCAGTTGCAATTGGATAATGATCTGCTGAGGCAGGGTGATGGCACCGAACGTCTGCAAAAGAGAATTAAACATTTGGAGGAGTAAGTTAGAATTTTGGATTTAAAATTTGTTTTCCCAGAAGAAGAACACATCAAAACAGGACTGTTTGTGTGGAGGATTTCTGATCCTAGAAGATCTCTTGAGGTCTTCTATAAAAAAAACCCCACTTGAGGTCTTCTATAAAATACCTCCCTTGAGGTCTTCCATAAAATACCTCCCTTGAGGTTTTCAATAAAATACCTCCCTTGAGGTCTTCTACAAAAGACCTCTCTTGAGCTCTTCTACAAAAGACCTCTCTTGAGCTCTTCTACAAAAGACCTCTCTGAGCTCTTCTATAAAAGACCTCTCTTGAGGTCTTCTATAAAAGACCTCTCTTGAGGTCTTCTATAAAAGACCTCTCTTGAGGTCTTCTATAAAAGACCTCTCTTAAGGTCTTCTATAAAAGACCTCTCTTAAGGTCTTCTATAAAAGACCTCTCTTGAGGTCTTCTATAAAAGACCTCTCTTGAGGTCTTCTATAAAAGACCTCTTGAGGTCTTCTATAAAAAGACCTCTTGAGGTCTTCTGTAAAAAGACCTCTTGAGGTCTTCTGTAAAAAGACCTCTTGAGGTCTTCTGTAAAAAGACCTCTTGAGGTCTTCTATGAAAGACCTCCCTTGAGGTCTTCTATAAAAAGACCTCTTGAGGTCTTCTGTAAAAAGACCTCTTGAGGTCTTCTGTAAAAAGACCTCTTGAGGTCTTCTGTAAAAAGACCTCTTGAGGTCTTCTATGAAAGACCTCCCTTGAGGTCTTCTATAAAAGACCTCCCTTGAGGTCTTCTATAAAAGACCTCCCTTGAGGTCTTCTATGAAAGACCTCCCTTGAGGTCTTCTATGAAAGACCTCCCTTGAGGTCTTCTATAAAAGACCTCTCTTGAGCTCTTCTATAAAAGACGTCCCTTGAGGTCTTCTATAAAATACCTCTTTTGAGCTCTTCTATAAAATACCTCCATTGAGCACTTCTATAAAAGACCTCACTTGAGGTCTGCTATAAAAGACCTTCTTGAGGTCTTCTAAAAAAGACCTCTTGAGCTCTTCTATAAAAGACCTCTTGAGCTCTTCTATAAAAGAACTCTTGAGCTCTATAAAGACCTCTTAAGGACTTCTAATTAATTATTTATTTAAACTATTTTCATTTTCCTAGCTACATCATTGCCCTTAAAGAAGAAAGAGCTTCCTCCGAGGCACGACGAGAACTCTGCAAATGCTCGGGTCTCAAGGTCAACATACAATCTGGCCAATCGGCCGAGCACACAATTATCTCTTTGCGAAACATTGTGGAAAAACTAAAGGCTGAGAATAAATATCTGAAAGATGGAAGGAGATCATGTGAATCTAGGGTAAAATTAAAATTTACACCAAAAATAAAAAAATCCTCACCCCTTTTTTTCTCCCACTCAGGCTTCCATTGACACCCCGGCAGCTGATTCATCCCGTCTCCAGCAAATGTATAGTGAATCAATGGATAAAATTGCAGCTCTACAAATGGAATTGAAACAGCAACACAACAAATGCCCGCATTGTGAAAATAAAAACAAATCTTCTGACAATCCATCCTCCAGCACATTGATGATGTCATCGCTATCCCTACAAGATGAGCTGCGCTATGTTAAGGAGCAATTGATTAAAAAGACTCAGCTGCTGCAAAAGGCCAAGGTGCTGTTGACCCGGGCCGCAGCCAAGGAGAAAGTCCTTAAAGAACAGCTGGCCATGTGGAAACGTAAATGTTCGGAATTGCAAAATGTGCCAGTGATTGATGAAATAAGTGAATGATTTGCTTCATATTGAGTTTGTTTTTAATTTGGAATTTTTTCATATTTAATTTATGTTAATTTTTAAATGATTGTTATTATTAATTTGTTATTTTTTTTGCTAAATTAAAAAGATATTTATTTATTCATTTTTAGTTTTTCAAAATAATTCCTTTTTTATTTCAATTTGTTTTTAGTTAATTTTCAAATTTATTTTCTTTAGTCCATTTCCACCTCATTGCCATTGTATTTCAATTGTAAAACTATGGTATTCGGTGAGGTCTGATCGGCCACATTGATCTGCTGGCCATCCTTGAGACCCAATTCACCCAACGACTGTGTGAGATTGGCCCGTGTACGTTCTTCGATACTTTTTACCGTGGACATATAGAGTGTTTTATTTTTACCATCAATCACAGTTGTGATACCTGTAATGGAAGAGAAAAAAGGAGGAAAATAAAAATATTGGTAAAAAAGCAATGGAAAGTTTTTTTTTTCATTTGGAGGAGTTCTTCTCAAGGACCCTTGTGGCAATAATGCTTTCTAAAGAGAGATCCGCCTTGAGGTCTTCTATAATAGACATATTGGATCGTATAAAAAAGACCACTTGCGGCCTCTTGAGCTCTTCTATATTTTTTTATTTGAAGGAGTTTCAAGGACTTCTATGGACAGAATGCTTTCTAAAGAGAGATCTACCTTGAGGTCTTCTATAAAAGACATTTTGGGTCGTATAAAAAAGACCTCTGGCGGCATCTTGACCTCTTCTATAAAAGACCTTGAGCTCTTCTATAAAAGACCTCCCCTTGAGCTCTTCTATAAAAGACCTCCCCTTGAGCTCTTCTATAAAAGACCTCCCCTTGAGCTCTTCTATAAAAGACCTCTTCTAAAAAAGACCTCTTGAGCTCTTCTATAAAAGACCCCTTGAGCTCTTCTATAAAAGATCTCTTGAGCTCTTCTATAAAAGACCTCTTGAGTTCCTCTATAAAAATTTCGTTGAGCTCTTCTATAAAAGACCTCCCCTTGAGCTCTTCTATAAAAGACCTCCCCTTGAGCTCTTCTATAAAAGACCTCCCCTTGAGCTCTTCTATAAAAGACCTCCCCTTGAGCTCTTCTATAAAAAGACCTCTTGAGCTCTTCTATAAAAAGACCTCTTGAGCTCTTCTATAAAAGTCCTCTTGAGCTCCTCTATAAAAGATTTCGTTGAGCTCTTGTATATGAAAGACCTCTTCTATAAAATACCTACTTAAATTCTTCTACATTAAGTTGGAGGAAAATAAAAATACTTGTAATAAAATCAATGAAAATATTCCCCCTTTGTGGGGGAGTTACCAGAAGGAGTGAACCGATATATCCCATCATCGCACCAAACCTTGGGTTGATAAAAATATTGTGATGTGTATAATTTGAAGATAATCGGAAATTTACATCAAATTTTATAAAAGTTACAATTATTCAAAATTTTGACCATTTGTGGGGGAGATACGTGATTGAGTGGACCAAAATTGGCCATTTTCGCACCTGGCCTAGAACTGATGCAAATATTAGAATTTGCAAAGTTAGATCAAAATCGGATTATTCTTTCTTTTTCTGCGCAGTAAATTATTTTCATTGAAATTGTTGATATTTTGTGTGGAGGGTACCGGAAGGAGTGCACCGATATTGCCCATCTCCGAACTCTATCTAAGATTGACAATAATATTACGATGTATCAAGTTTGGATCAAATCAGATACTCCCTTCGAGGGTTATCGTGCGCACCAGCCAGCCAGATAGACGGACGGACATTGCTAGCTCGACTCCAAATGTCCTGACACGGATTTGGTCCAAAGAGACCTAGGGTCTAAAACCGTTATTTCGATGAGGCACGTTTTGGACGTATCTAGTCGTATGACGGGGTATAAAAATACCTCAATTAAATTATAATATCTTACATAAAAAACACTATCATTAAGAGGCGAGTACCTATGGGTAATAACAAGGATCCTCTATCATCCTTCTAAAAAATTGAAAGATAGAACAGCCTCTCAAAAAATAAATGAAGTCCCTTTTGGATAGCGTCTTCCATGGATACAAGATTTTCTTAAGAACATCCTCCCTCACACTTACCCGGCTGCTTCATTTGAAAGCGTGGATTTTCACATAGAATCTTTATCAAATCCTCCAAGGTTGTGGTATTTGGATCCTCAATATTCACCACCTGTGGAATATTGCTACAGGCCAAACAATTTTCCGACTTTTCCGCAGCATAGGTGTACGTATAAATGCCATCGATATCATTGAAATTCATATAATTGCACATGCTGTCGTAACAACTGGTGGCCAGCTTGAAAACTTCCGTGGCGCAGGCGGCAGCAATAACAGCATTGGTACTAGCCACTGCCGGGATAATATGTTTAATTACACCCTGCACGAGACGATATGTAACACCCGTAATGTTATATTGCGTCGCTCGCTCCAAAGCTCGCTCATACACCCAGGCAATGTGCTGAGGATCATCGCCATCCAGCGAACAATTGAATGGATTCTCCTTATCCCATTGTATAATCTTTACATACTCAATACAATGTTCCGGCAAACGTGGTGTATTGGCAATGGTGCACAGCGGATAGTTTACCTGTGGCGGAAACAAATCCAATGTGCATTCAATGCATGCCGTAAGGCCGGGCAAGATGACACGTGCATTACCCTTAAAACCCTCAGTGCCACCATCAATCATGGGTGTGATACTGGACGGATCAACACTGCCATCTTCTTCGTTGTAGCGCAGACTGGAAATCAGCATGCCATTTATCCATCTCCGGGCCACAATGGAATCTAGACCGCAAACAATTATATGGAACTGTTGATAGAATGATTCATCGAAGTCTTGAATCTTGGCACAATGGGGTGTTACATGACACGTTGGAATGCGTTTATTGATGAAATTCGCAGCACATTCAGCCTTGGAGGAGCCAATATCGTTGCGACGAAACAAAAACTGGCGATTCAAATTGGACAATTCAATGGTGTCCATATCGATGACATGTATGTCGCCAAAGCCCATCAAGGCCAAGTCCTTGAGCAATTCGCAGCCCAAACCACCGGCCCCTGGGAAGAAAAGATGCCAAATCAATTATAGTTATCCCTATTACAGATTCCACTCCCTTAACTTACCAATGACCAATATTTTACAAGTATTTTGCAAAAATTCCAAATTATCGGGCGATGGCGCAAAGTCAGCCTTACAAAAAGGACCAGCCCTTTCCAAGATATGCCGCATGCTATGCCACCGTTTGCTATTCAGGGAATTGGTAGATGCTGGTGACATGGTAGAGCTCATATTCCCGCCGCAATTTGCAATTCCTCGCCAAGTTGATGCAGCAACCGAGAATTCACAATTAAAACGAAAAATTCATTCACAATGGTGACATATTTTTGCAAGTGTCATTTTTCGTTTTATTACGAATGGGTGAAAAAATGTAAAATTGCCAAATAGCCGGTTGTTTAGAATAAAAACTAAAAGAAGATAGAGAAAACAGCTGATTGCATGTAGGGTTGCCAATACTTGATTTTAATTTGCTTGTGCCGATGGGGAAAGACTGCACGCAGTCGTTTGTGTAAATCAAATCAAAAACTATGAAATTAATGGAATACACAAAATAAAATCAGTCTCTATTTCATCCAAAAATTGTACTGCTTTAAAATTAAAATCGAAAAACAACGGTTTTAGACCCTAGATCTCTTTGGACCAAATCCATTTCAAGATATTTGGAGTCGATTTTTCTCGCACTTTGCAAATCCTTATATTTGCATCAGTGTTAGGTTAGGTGCGAAAATGGACAATATCGGTCCACTTCATACAGTACCTCCCCCAGAAAGGGTCAAAATTTTGAATAATTATAACTCTTATAAAATGTGATGTAAGTGTCCAATTGTCTTCAAATTACACCTCAATATTTTTGTTAATCCAGGGTCTGATGTGAAGATGGAAAATTTCAATTCACTCCTTCTGGCACCTCACCCACAAAGTGTCAAAATTTTGAATATCTATGAAGCTCATAAAGCACGAAAATAACAACCAAATCCATTCAGACTTGGTCCATCTCAAGTTTTCCATAAACACAAGATCTGATAAAAAGATGTTAGAGGTAGCATGGTACAATGAAGAGAAGGTAGGTCAACTTTGAAAAAATTGCAAGTATAGGGGTCTACCTGTTTGGCTTGTAATGTCAGAATTGCTATCAAAACAATAAAAAAGCAAACAACTTGTTGCATTGATTTTGAATAAATAATTTAAAACCGCGAAAACTGAATGAATGGTCAAAATTTCTTTTCAATATCATGCTCTATATATCTCTTATGGTTTATTTCGCGACAAAAACTGTAGATTTTGTCGATGCATTCGTTGCAATAAGCATTTTGAAAACACCCGAATTTGAATATTTTCTGAACAATTTTTTATTATTGAAAAGAAGACACACACATAAGCAAATGAAGTTGACATATTAAGCCAGAAAAATAAAAAAAATTAAATCATATGGTAGTTCTGCCCTACCTTGAATTCATTGTACCATGAGAGGTAGTACCATGTCAAAAAAAAGTAAATGTTTTTTCAAATATAAGTACATTTTTATATGTTTTCTTATACTACGTCATTCGGAGGCTACTATATTTCGCGTTTTTCAAAAATTTTTACAAATTTAAATAATTTTTCATTCAACATTTTCAATTCAAAAATTGGTTTGACAGTTCATTGTTCCAGCAGCTGTCTCGACGCGTCTACCTATATTCTTCTACCATGGGTAGTACCATTCCGTTTCTGTATCTCCCCCATATAGGGTCCAAGATTCTTAAAAACAAAACGCTCGAAGATTTCACACATTCGAATATTTTTGCTAACGCAGGATCTGTGGTGAGGACGATTTACATCTGCCCACTAATTCTGGTACCTAACCCACAAATATGAATATGTACATTATCGAAATTTATGATTTCGCATAAAATTGGATACAAATATTCGATTTCCTTCAAATTTTGCAAATACCAATATTTTTATCTATATTTAATGAAGTATGGAAATGGAATAATACGCATATTTCCACATTTTCTGAAAATGTTCTCACATCTCATAGAAAGTATACGAACTAGTCGATATAGTCCAAATCTGGCACGTTTTAATATTTATTTCAGTCTCAGGTCAGATACGAATTGGTCAATAATGGCCAACTTCGGAAACTCCCCCATAAATAGTCGACAGTTTGAATAATCTTAACTCAAGGCTGGGGACATACATTTGTTGGCAAAATCGACTGATACTATTTTACTTGTTTTTGATGGCATAGGTTTTTATTTTTACAAAAAAAAAAAAATTATGTAGTTGTAACTCATGCATGTGCCTTATATCAGTAAATGACAATCCTTTCATATAAACATTTCCTTCTATCAGAGACTGTCCATTATGCTACAATTTTTATCAATTTTTATTTATAGATTTTTTCAAATTTTTATTAGCAGAACATTTCACATCAAGCATTTTGTGTAGGTTTGACTGTTTATTTTTTTTTTTTTTTTTTTTGATTTTAGAAATTTGAAACTTGGCCAATTTCCAGATAACGCCACAACAAAGGTTTGACTGTTTAACGGCTTTCTTTTTCAATGTGGAACGTATTTTATTAAAGTTCGTCGTGAGTAACCGATTACAATTTTCCCACATCCAAAAAGAGAGAGGCCCCAAATCGATTTTTGATTATTCGATTGTTGAAAAATGGAAAATCACAAAGTCCACTTTTTGTAATCGATTTATAAATCACAGATCTTTGTCGATAGTGACATTTTACAATATTCATATATAAGCATGGTAGAAGAATATAGGTAGACGCATTGACACAGCTGCTGGGACAATGAACTGTCGCACTATTTTTGGAATTGAAAATCTCGAATGAAAAATTATTTAAATTTGTGAAAAATTTAAAAAAACGCGAATTATAATAACCTTCGTATGACGTCGTATAAGAAAACATACACATATCTGCTTTTATTTGAAAAAAAAAAAACATTTACATTTTTGACATATCAATGCTCCAAAGCTTTGATGCATCTACCTGTATTCTTCTGCCATGTATATAAGTAAAGACAAAAGCGGAAAAGTAAAAATTTTAACAAAGAAAAGGCTATTTTACCAAGTTGCCAACCCCAAAATAAAAGTTACCGATTTGGTTAAAAATCTATCAACTGTGGCAACCGTGTTCATTTAGACGCCGGCGAACGAATATTGCAGAAGTTGGCGAAAAATAACAAATAAAATATCGTACTGTGCAATTTACACTCTTCAAAGTTAAATAAATAAATAAACTACAATATCCACATAAAAATGTAAAAATCATACAAAATACGAAAACAAGATTTCCCCCGTTTTACATTGTCGGCGCTCAACTTGTTTGTCAGTCGACTTTAATCTCTTCTGATTGGAGCAATTAATAGCTTGCTGCTATTGTTAAATACGGTGCGGTATCAATACGATAAACAATAAAATCTAATCTCCGTTGACGAAAAAAAAAACCTAATCATATGATACGCCAACATTTTCTACATACAACGAAAGTAAAATCGAACGAAACCACAAACATCATTAATTATTTGTTAGGCCTAGACGGTGGGTCGGTAGTTGTCCGTCGCGTGCTTTGTGTGATTATAAAAAAAAGAGTGTGCCATAAATATTAATGAATGGAGAAAAGTGAAATTATTTCTTAAAACGAAAAAAAAAAAAATAAAATAAGAAATCTACAGCTGCAATTATCACAATGTGCATGCTGGCGCAAGTGAAAGAGGGGGGAAAAAAGTCTCAACAGTGCAACTCGGAAATAATTGCATTTGCTAAAATTTGAAGGTCATTGTTCTCTGTTTGGCATCAAACAACAAATATAAACAAGACAACGGAGAGAGAGTTTGTACTCTCTCGCTCTCTTTCTCTCCGTCTTTAAATTCTCTGCCAACATTGTGTTAGAACGGGGTGTGGAGTGTTTTGTTGTTGTCAAATTTCGTGTGGGTGGGGGAATTGAAACCGGCTCGTAAAATTACAAAGAGTATTTGCAAAAAATAATAACAAAGGAAGTTCTAAAATGTGTCACAATTGAAAGAAAAACAAATGCAATGTAATGGAAATGTTGTTAGTGAAAAAACTTCTCAACGCTATAAATCATTAACGCCGCCCTTGAAAATTTCGTCGTTCCAAGTCGAACCAACCCGACCCAACAAAACCAAAATTGATTAAAAATGGGTCGTCTGGATCAAGAAGAGCGTTATACGCTATTACCCTTAAGCTCATCCAGTTCAAACACGACAAATAATCTTTCCTCTTCATCGGGTGGCGAGGAAAACAATGCCACCGACCATGAAGACTCGGTGGAATTCAAACAAAGGACCAAATATTTTCGTAAAAAATTAGCTGGTGCAATAATGCGTACAACCGCATCGGTATCAGCAAATCAAGTGCTAACAAATAATCGAAGAAAATTCCATGCCGGTCGAGGATTGGGGAAACGTTTCATACGTCCTCTCTTTTGTGCTTTTATGATACCGATGTCCCTGTTTTTGTTACTCTACAGTTCCATATTTTCCGGGTCCTCATCAAGACAGTGTAAGTATTTGCTGAGAATATAGTATTGTGTGTTTTTCATTTTATTTTATTATATATTGCAGATTGTTTTTTGTTAATGGTTAATAGAGTTTTTCGAAAGGTGAACTACGGGGAAATTAGACCAAGAAATATGTTTAGACTAAATTTAGAGATGTCTCCACTTTAAAAAGCTTCCCAAAATTACATAGCTTAGGGTGGTAGTAATGTGTGGCCCTTCGAAAAAAGTAACTTCTTTAAAAAAAGTAAAAATTAAAAAAAAATATAAAATTACTTATATATATGGTTGTGACTGCCATTGTAAAGGCTAGCATTGGTAAATATTTCCAACTAAACTGGGTCTTAAGCTGTCGCCGCTGCACTCGTAGAACTCTGGTCCATTATTACACCCTCCACCATAGTATGGAGGGTATATTAAGTTTGTCATTCCGTTTGTAAAACCTCGAAATATACATTTTAGACCCACAAACTTTATATATTCTTGATCAGCATAAAATTCTATGTCAAACTTAGCTTGGACCGTCCTTCATTCCAGCTACCGAAGGAAATTAAGTAGGTTGATAAAATTTTACTCAAATGTCTGCAGGACTTAGGTGTTGAAAATGGGGCATGTAGCTCCACGTTTTGGTATAGGCCCCATATAATGGTACCTCCCTATATTCGGTATTTGAATGATTTTAGCGACATTTTCATGGCTTATGACAAAAGTTGGCTATGCAGGTCCATATCGTCGTAAAGACCCTAATATAAATGCTGCATACGGTATAAAAACTCACCTAGTTCCTGTATCGCTATGGACCCATTATTCTTAATTTTTAATTAGAACCAGACCCAGATAAGGGTAGAATCGAAACGAACACAACATTATGATCTGCTACAACAACAAAAAACTATGCGGCTCCGGTGTGGTCCGTCAACGTTAGTGTTACGCAGTGGAAAAATATTCAGTCCTACCACAATGCCGCCCTTAGAACCGCAACAGGGTGCCTCCTCATGACACTTGTCGACTACCTACATGAGGAGGTCTTACCGGAGCGACAGCATAACAAAATGCTGTCGATGCAATACCTTCTTGTGTGTTACCGACAAAGCCATCCAAATCACCATCTGGTGGATAGGCAACCTCCACCCAGGCACGTAGGAAAGACCTTTATGATCTAGAGAAAGAGGTACAAAGGTATAAGAGAGAGCCTCTAGATCACCTGGCCTATCAAATAAATTTTCAGAAATAAAACCTATTGGACTTTATACCATTAATTTTAACTATTCATTTTTTCACCTCCTTGCAGATCCTTTGCCCGACTGGGATTTTGATGTGTCGCGCAATATCAGCGATTATGTTTTGCCCCTGAATGATACAACCATTTTGGAGCCAAAACAAAAATGTGCCGATAAATTTTTCCTATTAATTATTGTCTGCTCTGGTTTGAATAACTTTGAAGCAAGGTGAGTATCGATTTAATTGTGTTGTCTCACCACCACCCAGCAACCATTTAGCTACTTCAATAAAGTGTTTTCTAATTGTAGTCAGCTCAGTACATTTGGTATTTGATAGATAAGCCTTGGGCAGTAATCATTCCAACAAATTGTTGCAATTGCCAAAATGATATGAAAAATAGAAAAAACTATAATTCTAAATAAGAGAGAGGGTATTGGATAAAATTCAAAAAAAAAAAAAAAAAAAACAATTGCGGAGAAGATAAGAAGTAAATTTTTTAATCGTTTCTTCATTGTCATTGTCAAAATGATACATAATTAAAATTTTATTATATAAATAATTCAGAAAAATATTTGAGAGTACAAAAATGAATGCCGAACAAAAACACTATTCCAAATTTTTGATGATTTTAAGTTAAATTCAAAATTTGAAAAATACGTCGACATTCAAAACACAAAAAGCGCCCTTATTTTAAAAATTCATTTTAGTCACAGGTTAATTCCAAAAAAAGAGAAAACAAAATTTGGGTGAATTTTTTCTTCCACAAAAAGCCAAATATCCCATCAGGCTATGCTCGTGCAATCAAATCCTAAAACTTCAATGCTACACCCACATATACATACGTTTTAACACATTTTTGTGTGTGTGGCTATGATGATGATGGAATCCAATAACTTGGCTATAATGGATTCTTTAAAAAAAAAAAAAAAAAACAAAAGCTGATTAGAAATAACATTGATAGCAAATTAGAGTTATTTCATCTTATCAGCTTTCAGTGTGCTGCATGTTATAATGTCTTGCTAATGTAATAAAGTGCCCTGAAGAGGTTCTTGACAATCAAGCCAATATAATATATAGGAAGCAGTGAGCAATGATAGTGTCATTGGACAAGATTTCGTACTTTTATTAGCGATCCTATCTGTACAGGTATTGTCAGATAGAAAAAAATATTTTATTTGAAAATACTTAGGTGAGCTGAATGAGCTGGAGATAGAAGTGTGACAAAGGTAACAAGTAGCAAGTAAAAAAGCTGTAAGTTCGACAGGGCCGAACTTTGAATACCCGTCACCATTTGGAACGAATTTGGCAATTCTCAAAAACAATAAAAATCGTTAAAACTTCTGTTAAAATCTTAAAAATACCGAATGTAGCTATTATATTAGGGTCTATACGAGGACATGAACCTGCGTAGGTAACATTTGTCATAAACCATTACAAGATTCAAATGCGAAACTTCAAAAAATCGGTTATAATGTCGATAAAATCAAAATACCGAATATCGAGAGGTGCAGTTATATGGGGGCTATACAGACAATTTTCTGTCGTAGCCTGTAGTATCCATTACGAACTTTAGATTTCAAATTTGAAACAATTCTGGTGAAAAATGTCCCTAAAATGATTAAAATACCGAATATCGGGAGATACCGTTATATGGGGCCTTTACGAAGAGGTGAGCCTGCACAGACAATTTTCTCTCTTAGGCTGCAGTATCACTTACGAACTTTAAATACCATATTTGAAACAATTCCGGTTAATAAATTTGCTGAAATCATCAAAATACCGAATATCGGGAGGTACCGTTATATGGGGGCTCTACGAAGACGAGGACCTGCCCAGACAATTTTCTGTCTTAGGCTGTAGTATTACTTACGAACTTTAAATACCAAATTTGAAACAATTCCGGTTAATAAATTCGCTGAAATCATCAAAATACCGAATATCGGGAGGTACCGTTATATGGGGGCTCTACGAAGACGTGGACCTGCACAGACATTTTTCTGTCTTAGGGTGTAGTATCCATTTCGAACTTCAAATACCAAATTTGAAACAATTCCGGTGAAGAAATTCGCTAAAATCATCAAAATACCGAATATCGGGAGGTACAGTTATATGGGGGCTATATGAAGACGTGGACCTGCACATACAATTTTCTGTCTTAGGCTGTAGTATCCATTACGAACTTCAAATATCACATTTGAAACAATTCCGGTGAAAAATGTCGCTAAAATCATCAAAATACCGAATATCGGGAGGTACAGTTATATGGTGGCTATACCAAAACGTGGACCTACATGGCCCATTTTCAATACCAAAAGTCCTGCAGACATAACATACATTTGAGCAAACCTTATCAGTCTACTTCAATTCGTTCGGAAGCTAGAGTGATTTCCACAGACGGACAGACGGACGGACATCGGTAAATCGACATAGAATTTTATGCTGATCTAGAATATATATACTTTGTGGGGTCTAAAATGTGTATTTCGAGGTGTTACAAACGGAATGACAGACTTAATATACCCTCCATACTATGGTGGAGGGTATAAAATCCTACGTTTAGTTCGCCAACTGAGAAGGAGAAGGTTCTTCCCATATAACAATATGTTTTCGTCATAATACCTGCAAGGGTGTTACCATGACAGTCATCCGAATCATTATATGGCGGATAAAACTCCCTCAAGCAAGCGTGTCGGGAATGTCAGCCTTGACAGCATGCATGGCATCCTCGGAGTCCACTCAATCCCCAATCATTGCAGCTGAAGAACGTCGGCTGCCTAAGCAAACCAGAACAGTCTTCATAATTCATAATGGGCACGAATTAATAAAGATATGCCAAACGTTTGGCCAGTGTGCTTTACAGGCCCGCACACTATACTACATTCATTTAATTGGCCTGTCGAACGTGTCCGGCTCACTCCTAAAAATTTTGACAGTCCGTAAAGTTAGCTGCATTTTTCAATTTGGGGTTAGAAAATGATTGGTTAAAGGACACGCGATTCCCTTAGAATAACCGTTGCACTCGGAAACCTCGTCTTAAGTCACTTAAATCTTCTGGCTAGTGGAAGAATTTCTGCAGACTCTGCTTTAGAAACGACACACTGAAGAGCTGAAGATCTTCCCAAAGAGCAGAAGATCTTCCAACAGAAGAGCTGAAGGTCTTCTCATCGAAGAGCTGAAGGTCTTCTCATCGAAGAGGCGAAGGTCACCTCATCGAAAAGTTGAAGGTCTTCCCATAGGAGAGCTGGAGATCTTCTCATCGAAGAGCTGTAGGTCTTCTCATAGAAGAGCTGAAGGTCTTCTCATCGAAGAGCTAAAGGTATTCTCATCGAAGAGCTGAAGATCTTTTCATAGAAGAGCTGAAGGTCTTCCCATAGAAGAGCTGGTAGGTCTTTTCATAGAAGAGCTGGTAGGTCTTCTCATAGAAGAGCTGGTAGGTCTTTTCATAGAAGAGCTGGTAGGTCTTCTCATAGAAGAGCTGGTAGGTCTTCTCATAGAAGAGCTGGTAGGTCTTCTCATAGAAGAGCTGGTAGGTCTTCTCATAGAAGAGCTGGTAGGTCTTCTCATAGAAGAGCTGGTAGGTCTTCTCATAGAAGAGCTGGTAGGTCTTCTCATAGAAGAGCCCATAGAAAAACTGAAGGTCTTCCCATAGAAGAGCTAAAGGTCTTCTCATCGACGAGCTGGTAGGTCTTCTCATAGAAGAGCTGGTAGGTCTTCTCATAGAAGAGCTGGTAGGTCTTCTCATAGAAGAGCTGGTAGGTCTTCTCATAGAAGAGCTAGTAGGTCTTCTCATAGAAGAGCTAGTAGGTCTTCTCATAGAAGAGCCCATAGAAAAACTGAAGGTCTTCCCATAGAAGAGCTAAAGGTCTTCTCATCGACGAGCTGTAGGTCTTCTCATAGAAGAGATGAAGGTCTTTCCATAGAAGAGCTGGAGATCTTCTTATCGAAGAGCGGAATTTCTTCTCATCGAAAACCGGAAAGTCTTCTCAGAGAAGGCGGTATAGTCTTCCCAGAAAAGACGGGAATATCTTTTTATCGAAATCCTGAAAGTTTTCTCATGGAAAACCGGAAAGTTCTCTCGATCTTTTTCTCTTCTCGGAGAATGTGGGCCAGATTTTCTTAGGGGTATTATATCCCCTTTTATCTAACCAATTTTGTTGGAATTTCCCGGAGCAGTGTTCGTAAAGAAGTGTCACAAGGGAGGTCAAAATAAGTTCTCAACTTCAAGGTCATTTGATTTGAATCCCCATCGTGCCAATTCATCTGCTGTCTAATTACCTTGATTATAGGAATAGCCGGGGAAGAATATACTTGTAGGACAACGTAAATAGAAATATTAATTAAGAAATTAGAAAATTCCCCTGTGCGAAGTTATTTGTTGGTGTCGACATGTGGTAGCTTCCTTTTGTCTACTTCGTGTTGCGGTATTTTTATACCCACAGCCAGAGAGTATATATCTAATTTGATACGGCCAAAACGTGCCTCCTTGAAATAACGGTTGTAGACCCTAGGTCTCTTTGGTGGACCAAATACGTTTCAGGACATTTGGAGTCGATCTAGCGTTGTCCGTCCGTCCCTCTGTCTGTCTGGCTGGTGCGCAAGATAAGCCTCGAAGGGCGTATTCGATTTGGTCCAAACTTGGTACATCGTAATATTATTGTCAAACTTAGATCGAGTTCGGAGATGGGCAATATCGATCCACTCCCCTTTGTACCTCCCCCATAAAAGGTCGAAATTTTCAATTTTTTTTGCACAGAAAGAGAAGCGATAATCCTTTGCTCCAACTTTGCAAATCTTAATATTTGCCTCAGTGCTAGGTCAGGTGCGAAAATGGACAACATCGGTCCACTCCATCAAGTACCTCCCTCACAAAGGTTAAAATTTTGAATAATTATAACTCTTAAAAAAGGTGATGTAAGAGTCTGATTGTCTTCAAATTTCACACATCCAAAAAGTTATATTAACCCAAGGTCTGGTGTTAAGATGGAATATATCGGTCCATTCCTTCTGGTACCTTCCCCACAAATGATCGAGATTTTCAAAAAAAAAATTTTATATTTTCTGCACTGAAAGAGAATAGATAATCCGATTTTGTTCCAACTTTGCGAATCCTGATATTTACGTCAGTTCTAGGTCAGGTGCAAAAATGGATAATATCGGTCCACTCCATCAAGTACCTCCCCCACAAAAGCTCGAAATTTTGAATATCCATCAAGCTCTTAAAACACGA